ATCACGCAAAATACAACTTTTGTATTAAAAACCTTAAGTACAGCCCAGTTATTTTTTCATATTCAGAAATTCCACGAGTAGTAATTCAAGTAGAAGATAAAGGGAATGTACAACATTTGCTTGTACCCCATAACAGGTGTGTAATCAACTGAAAAGAAAATGCGGAATAACTAAATGAAAAACAAGGAGCAGTTTTTGAAAAAAAAAGCCAATTTTCTCAAACGCTGGTCAGCCGACCAACGTTGGAAAAATGGAAGTTTTCTTGAAAATGTCAGCACACCAAGAGCCACGATTTTACGGATGCTTTAAGACTGTCATTCCCTAACAAAGTAACAGTGCAGTAGGGTATTTCGTGGTAATTTGATCATATTCTTTTTTGATGGTTGCAAATGTTGCACCTTCCCTTTAAGCCCAAGTTCCCCCACTGAACCTCAAGCACACTAAGCAAACAGTGCTAAGAATATGGAAAGAATAAATAAAGAGTTTATTACCAAAACACGACATATGTCCATTTGAGTGAAAAATTTGCAAGGTTATGAAACTAGATAAATATTATTAATGTAAGCTGTTCCCAAACTTCTTTTTTTTTCAAATTACTGTGTTATGAATTGTGTTTGACTATATAACGGCCTTGACAACTGACTTTGGGCTGCCAGGAGAGGGCAGCATTCCAAATGGGAACAAAATGGCGAATATCGCATTTTGGAAATAAACACTTCTAAGGCTGCATCCGAATCAACTGTCTAGAGCTAGGTCTAGGTCCACGCCCATTGAAAATACGTGAGAACGCGCTGACAATAGACCTAGCCGTAGCTCTGAAGCCCGTTTCGGACACGGCCAAATACAGTAAAGATAGTATAACAGATTGACAAATTCTCATGTCAAAATATAAAATGTTTTAGCTGATGGCAGGATGTTTTTACAAGACCCTGCCCCATCAATTCCAAACATGTACATGAAAACCTTAAGTACAATGCAAGCTGAATTAGTTAGCTTATCAACCTTTAGTTACAATAAAATACTTATTGGTAGACAATAATGTTTTACAACAACCTGAGAACTATCGGTATGTCTTGGTAGTATTTGTTGTTATGATTGTGTGAAAATTCAAAGTTTTGATAAAGTGTTAACAATTCAACTTCATCAAATTTTAATGATTGTTCACACACCCAATTAAACATAACATACATACATGTACCCTAGCATAAAAAAATACCGAATTTATGTTTAATCAAAGACCAGCGCATCTATAAGAGAAACAACTAGCTCCTAAAAAGTGTCAACTTCAGACTTTTTGACCACTCAAACCCCAAATTGTAATGTTACAATTATAGCAGCATTTTAATTTCAATACTGGCCCTATCACTATGCCAACTGAGCTCCCAAACCGCAGTATGGGGTTACGCCATCTCCAGTTACCAAGGTAATAATTACCTAGGCAACACCCTGATGTGAGGTTTTTCCAAGGATCAGGCGCCTCCTATAACGAAATACTCAGAACAACCAAGAACCAACCACAACAAGTATCATGAGCAGCTTCAGAAAAGTCTTCTTGAATATCTGTGCAGATTTTTCCTTTATGTTCTAATGGTAGATTTTGAGAAATGCAGGATTTTGAGAAATGCAGGATCAATGACACTGATGACATTCTCTCCTCAATGGTCGACACAGAGTACATATTGTACTTATCTGCTGCTTACGACCCCTCTGTTTCTAACAACTTCTGGAATCCAGAAAGTCAAATTCTCCTGAGATGAACCTTTCTCGTAACTGATCAGCTTTTACAATTCTGCAGCACCAGAAATCAATTGTATCTTCAATGACAAACTTTTCTGGTAATCATCCAGACCCGTAACAATGATTACAAACAGCAATCCACCTTCTCCACAATCAATACATTTTATCTGCTATTGGTCAGTCCACTGTTGACTTCTAGCTGTTGTGACATTCTGCTACTTTTCATCATTAGTAATGATTCAATACGAATGATCATTACTTTCATATTGTCGATGGTACAAACATGTTCAACATCAATATCTATGATCTGTGATGTTTCAAAATGATAAAGTATTTTTTCCCCCATTTTTTGGATGGATAATCTTCTCACTAAACCCTCCTTTTGTTGGCCAGTCACAGACGGTCAAAATTTGATTTTGTTCCCCTGCCATGCCTTTTACACAGGCTAGTCACCAACAGTCAGATCATTATTTGTTATAGGCACTGTGACAGTCAAATTCCATCAACAGACAAAATCAGGTAACTGAATTAGGCACAGCTGGCTGATCAATCTCCTGAGGTCAAAGCATAGCTGTATCAGATTTCATAACAATCACAGCCAGTCAATCTTGCTTTAGAGCAGGGAACACTCAACTGCTAAAACCAGTCACTTGATTTATTTTGACTGCTGGGCTGGCTTTGTTGTGATTGTCAGCAACAACTCATCAGATTCCTCGATACAAATATCTGCCACTACAAATGACAAACATCAACATTTTATCAAATATGATGTTTCAGACAGTGTTCTACTGCCATTTGGTACTGGCTTTCCTGACCAGTTAAGTTTCAAAACTGTGATTCCAAAGCAATGCTCTCTACAAACCATCACCCTCATCACTTGTCAATTTATGATCAGTTCATTTTAAATTCAGTGATCATCTGCTTTATCCGTTACCAAGCACTGTTTTTCCACAACTGATCAACTTCTAATCATTGCTCAACGATGATCTTAATCTGTAATTATCAAATACTTAATTTCAACTGCAAGTTTTGTATTAGTGACTGCTCTCTTAACTCACGAATCGCATATTAAATTAATGCAAAACTTCCGTCAGTGAAACAGTCTCAATAAGTGACAACAAGTTTATCCTTTCTCCGTAACTGACTGACATCAGCATCTACTTTGTCACAAATACTGACTAGCGTCCTCAAAATAGACTTCCAATAGTGGAAGCTTTATCTTACTTTACCAACATCAACTTGCACGATAACTATATTTTTAAAGAAAAATAATCTTTGACTCAAACACAATACCCTTCTCCATCAGTAGTCAACTGTGCAAAGCAGAGACCAACTTTTGTAATCAGTGATTAACTTATGTCGCTGGGGAATTGAGATAAATCAGTTTATAAACTCACTTATGTTTCAAAATAAGTTTTTAGTTTTGTCATCATCAACCTCATAAAACAGTAAGTGTCGCTATTGGTGGCAAAGTATAAACTCATTTATGTTTCAAAACAAGTTTTTATTTCATCCTTAACCTTATAAAACAGTAGGTGTTGCTATTAGTGACGAAATAAACACCATGGCACTTTCAAATCAAATGTAATTGAGCTGACAACAATTGTGTGTTTAAAGTAACACCCTAATAACTATCCAGGTAGGAAATAATTGTATTTCGTACCTTTTTTTTATACATTTTTCTGTCCGTCATTTATACTTAATATGTTTACTTTAAGAAGCCATTAAATGGTTTATCAACCAATAACATACAAAAAGACTCTAAAAGGAAAGACTTTTTTATGTTTAAATACGCCTTATTTTTTTGGGCAAAATGTGGAAATAAACAGTTTGAAGTTGGCAATTTGGCTGAAAAAAATTCATCTAAGTTGGGTTACAATAAACACACAATTATATTATTGGCCTGATAGGCCTAACCCATTGCACTTTCTGGTTTTATTTATGGGGTGTTTCTTTATGTTATTTTTAATTGTTTTTATCTAATTAAACCATCAGATGCATATTGAGGGGAATGATAAAGTCCAGTTCAAATAATGTTTGCATGTGTTCAAAAGTTCTTATAACCACTGAGGTTTGCCAAAAAAACCTTTAAATTGAAAGAAAATCTAATGTTCTTTCTACATATTCAAAGTGCATGTGTTTACAAATATTTGCATGCAAAAGTAGTGAAATTGTTAGTGACTATGCCACCAAATTAAGAATTTTTTTTGATACATATATATATAGGAGTTGGTATTTAAAGTTTCTATCATTACCTCTTAGCACAGTAAGTTTTAGAGACTAGAAAACTTACTTGGACTAATAATTGTCTAATTACACTAGGTTTTTGCTTAGTGATAATTGATGTCTGGAGATTGAGAACTTTTTTGGATCAAAATTTAAAGTTGCATTCCCTGTGCTCTTCAATAGATTCAATTTATTTCTTAATAAATGTTCATTTTGTATTTTTTATTCCATCCAACAAACTCCTTTTTTTGTGGGGCATCTGCAACCCTCAAAAAGGTTTAATAAGGGCCCAAAAAAACCCACAAAACCCCCCCCAAAAAAACCCAGAACGCGGTCCGAACATTATCAACACTGATCATGGGGCAGAAACCAGCCTACCCAACCAGAATGGAATTATATTGTACGGCCATAAGTATTTGAAATTCTTAAAGTAATAATTAATCATCAAACCAACCATGGACCAATTTTTCGATTCATTTCTCGTTCAAAAGTTAATAACTTAGATTACTATTAAAAAAATGCACTCTGGAAAAGTACTCTACATGTGTTTAGGGATAAACTCAAAACAGCACGGGACATGCAACTTTAATGTTCAACAAAATTAAAATGGATAAAAATTATTCTCTCAATTTAACACAGCAAATGTTAAAAATCGATTGAAGCTGACCGCAAGGAAACAAAATTTCCTCAAGCTGAGTTATTAAAGTATCACTAAACTAAACTAAATTTTGATGCAAGTCCAATCAGTAACTAACTACAAGTCACAACATCAGCAGTCTTCAAAGCTGTGATTAATCCACATTTTTGTGATTCATGCCTATGACAATAAAGCTTGCTTATTCATCACTACAATAACTTGTAGATTCGTTTACTTTTGCCTCAAATTTCACATTGGAAACAACTTTTAATCCTCTTGGTGGTTTTGGAGGAGTTTTGGAGGATTGAGGATGAATGGTGTTTGAGGATTTTGTAGGATTGAGGATGAATAGTCAGTGTTTGAAAAGAAGGAGGATTTTGGAGGATTGTTTGAGGCAGGACTGTCTGATGAACTTGAAGGATTGAGGCGCTGGGTATCCTTCATTTGAACATAAGTGGAACATTTTGGAGGGTGAGAGTTTCTGACATGGTTGATAAATCTTTTTCTCCCTAACTGCCTGTCAATTTTAAAACAATGATTGTTTGTTTCATTTCTAACTCCCTAGGGGGTGTGCAAAATTATATTGAAATTGGAGGATTCAGGAATGTTGGGGCTATAGAATCAGATCGGGAGTGGACACCGCAATCCACTTCATTTATTTGTTCAAAATAGTATGATGCATTCATTTCTTTGGAGGGGAGAACAGGATGAGGAAATAATAGAAAGGACAGTAATTGCAAGGTGTAGAGGTTGGCTTCTGTTTAGTCTAGAAAATGACTAAGAAGAACACCCAAGGCAGAAGAACAAAGAAGAATGTGTATGGAGATGAACATGTATAGCAAATTGTTAACTGCAATAACAGCAAACAGAGGGAAATTGTAATAACTGCAATACTTCAATCAGAATATGGAAATAGAAAATCATTAAACTATTGTTCAATAATAATAATCAAAACAATACAAATGAAAAACCTTACACACATTGGTAACCAATGCATTTATGTAAGGCATGCCCCTATAAGCTTCAGATTTTAAAAGAATGCCTCCATCTTTAACTTATTGTTCTCACTGTTCTTTTACTCTGCTTTAAATGGAAGTAAATGTTACTGTTGAATTGAAATAAGATCAGAAAAGAATGGAAGGCAAAGGTATCTAAGAAAGATGGCATAAAGAGATGAATAAAGAATAGATACTGAGGGCAGAGTACCAAAGAAATGGTTGCCCAAAAGGAAGGGAGGGGATGACTCTCAGAGTTGGCTAGCAAGCAGCTTATATGACCATGTCTACCGCAATATGAACGACCACTGATATATTATTCAGTAATAAAAATTATGTGCACAAGACCGACAAACTACGCGAACGCCCCTAGCAATGTACTTGCCATGAGTTAAAGGGACTTTGTAATTAACAGCATGCACCAACTACTAACATTTATTTAAATAACCAGGACTTTTGAGATATGGCGAACCAAAATGAAGACTTTGGCTGTACTTCATTTGGTTTTTGGTATTCTTAGCTAAAGAAGATTATTTGTCAAACTTTAAATCATTCATATTTTGTGATCCACGCGATTGACAAAGCCCCTTCATATCCAGAGAAGTGCTAAAAGAATTTTACAATTACCTTCAATTAACATTAGGAAAATTATGACCAATGATTGTGCTTGAATGGCCTTTAATTTTCTTTCTGAGAGCTCCCAAGACACCCTTTGGTTAGACAATGTAAGTGCACAGTTTTGCACATGAATAGTTGCTTGTGATAACAGTTGAGTTTTTGGTTGTTGTGTTGCAATATGATGAAGAAAGGACTATAGTTTAGCAGAGGAAATACAGGCAAAGGATTTGATCCAGCTTCACAAAATAAAAGATTGAGTTGGCTTAGCTTTGGTTGTATTTCTATGATAGTAAGATGGGATTTTAAAAAACTCCAAAGTGTAGAATAGCAACACTGTAATATGCAGAGGATTTTAAAAAGTTTGTTTTTTCAGTTGATGAATAAGGACTAAAAGGTCTAGCAAACGTGGAGAAAAAAAGGCAGGAACATGTAGATAGGGTGAGGAATTTATGAAATTATTTTTGAGTATTTAGAAAAGAAGCCAGAAGTTAGCCATAGATTTAAAAGGAGAGCAACAATTTTTGGAACTAATTGTCAGCTACATGTTATCCTGATCCAGCCTGGCACCTACAATTCACTAACATAACAGCATGGCTTTCTCAAATTTATCATCAATCTCAATCATTTGCAAAAACAAGAAACATTTTCACTTCATTTTGTCAGCAAATGATTTTCAATATCAAAGTTAATAGTTACAATATTATGATCTTTTCCTAGACCAAAATATGCAACCCTTATCAAAACAGGCAGCTCAGAGATTTGAAGTGTCTAAATTTTTCCATCAATGATTAAGTAAAGAAAGGTAAAAATTTGTTATTTCTGTGGCATATTATGCAGTGACAGAAACTACATTTTACATGCTCAGACAAAAAAATGTTCACATATTAAGATCTCAGAACCAAATGTTATCAGGTAAACAAACTCATGAATTTTGAAAACAAAATGAAATCAGTAGGAAATGAAACAAATGAAAAACCAATCTTTTCTAGCAACCAATGATAGAGTAGGCATATGTGTGTACCATTTGCCACAGAAAACTATATGGCAACAGTTAAAAGCATATATAGGATCATTTGCTGTTCATGTATTTTCTTTACCCAATAATAACATCACTCAAAATCTAAAGAAGAGTGTTCAAAACCTTATCTGTTGAAGTTTCAGTTCAGTGAATAGTACACTTTGTAAGGAAACTGTAAAAAACCAAGCATGACTTTTTGATTATGTTTCGTCAGCACTTTTTATTCCAAAAACCATGCAAATAACTGATTGTTGGAAATCACCTACATTTCTTGATATTTTTTTTATATGTAAGCATGTCAGACACGATAATTTTATGGGGTGTTTAGCACCATTACTATCACTAATTAGTCCAATTAAGTATTTTATAATAATGTGGAAGGTTAATTTTGGGACAAATGCAAATGATCCTATATGCCTTTAAATAGTTTGGAGAAAAATGCTTCAATTCATAGTAACTTTTCACTTAAATCTCTCCTATGAAACATAAAACCTGCTCCATCAAATTAAGAATGTGTGCACCCTACTGTAAGAGGTTTGCTACAATGATTGTGGCAGTTTTATCAGCTTGCAAACCATTATGAAAGTCACTGGACACTTGATGCAAATATTTCAATCTAACTGTGTTTCTCTTTGACAGTTCACACAAATAAAATTCTGGTTTGATATCAAATCACACAGTAATCACTTTAATAAGGGGAACTTTTAATTCCTCTTTGTTTCAGAAATGACTGTCATGATCATTGTTGAGAAATTATACTCATTTCTCTTTCTTCTTCAAATTACAATGTATTGTCCAGGATGCTGTCATGTAAAAATATCAAATTACTTTCAATCAGAATGTTGAGGACAAAACTCCAATTCACAAGAATCAAGTGAGAGAATTATGGTCATTTTCAAAGGAGGTTGTTTGGAGCACATTGTGATGAGTTTTGATGGAGCAGGTTGTATTCTTGGTTTGACTCACCCTTAAGGTCATCCCAGTCACCATGGTGATGGTCATCCAGCCTGTCCTGCCTAGTCTAGGCACTGGTCTGGTCCAATCCAGCCTCAGCATGGTTTGCAAAGGTCAGTCTCTTCTGAGATTTAAAACAAACATTCAAACTTCATTAATTTGCTAATCAGAATTTTTATTTGAGAGTGTGTCCTCATATATCACGAGGGAAAGTTCGCAAGGGATCAGAGACACCATTTTAATAAGAAAGTCCGATATCAAAATTGTCCCTTGTGGACATAATAAAATGGCAAGACAATGATTCTTCGGTCCAACAAGTTTTCTGATTTTTGTCTTATTGATAAATGTTTATTACAAAGAATTCATTGACACACTCACCAGTTTGGAACTCTCAATCGTCCTGAGAGAAGCCAGATAAGACCTCAGGATGGTGCCTCATCCCTCACAGACATCCTGAGCTGCCTGTCTGCACCTTGGTTCCCATGGCAGAAGATCAATAGCTACCATCTATGTAGACAGCATCTGTCCAGATACAGCTTCCCACAAGGAAGCTATGGCGTTGTTCACATGAACTGCTGAAGTTTTAAGTTGCACGTTGTTTGCACCTCCAGCACCGCTCATGGTCAAGAAGTCCCTCAGTGTTTCATCCAGTCTTGTGGATTCTACCGAGTACCAGAGTAGAAGTAGAAATACTGCAGACTGCTACTAGAAGTTCAAGCAGCGGCCTCCCAAATCGTCCAAAAGGCTACACTCCAACAAGGTACATGTACATCAACATCATCTTTGCAATTCAAGTTCAAGATGGAGTGAACTGCAAGCAACTCATGGAGCAACTAAGTTTGAGTTTTGAAAGTAAAGACCAGTCAAATCTCAGTTCACTGGTTTCCCGTGCATGTAATACTTGGGAATGAAGGTGCGGTCATGGCGGTTGATTTTCAGAACAGCCGTCTCACTCTCACCAGGTTTGTCATCTTCAAGCACTCCGCTGTGGTCCTAGCCCGCCATGAATCCTTGCCAAGTCGTTGGTCAGCAATGAGGCCTGTCTCTGAAGTCAAAATCCTTACAAGCAATGATTATTTTGCAAGCTTTTTGCAGTGCAAAACTCAGTACACTCATGTAGCACGTGTACCATACTGGATCAACCTTGCTAGATAGAGGGCACACGTATGCAAACAGTGTACAGCAGAGTGTGCAGGAGCAGGCCGAATGCTTTACAAGTGTATTTCAAATTTGGCAACTTTCTTTTGCCTTTTGAAAACATGAAATTATCATCATGATCTCCATCATAAAGACTTTTAAAGTTGATCATTGTTCAAAGTGATCCAGTAAACTAACATCCCCTATTTGACAGCTTTAGTTCAGGAAATTTCCCTTTAGCAGGAAAGCTTCCCTTAACAGGATCACCACCGGGAAGGTAGCTGTCATGATCCCATGTTAGTAAAGAGAGGAAAAAGGGGAAGGGCAGAAATTAGAAGGTGCGTGCGAGAGATGGAGAGGGAAGGGAGGAAAACAGAGGAAAGAGGAAGAGAAAAGGAAGATAGAAATGAAACGGTGCGTGCAAGTGACAAAAGAGTAGGTGTAGAGAGGAAAGAGAGACAGAAATGGACCAGTGCGTGCAAATGATGATAGAAAGGGGATGACGGACGGGATGGAGGATGGGGAAGGAGGGTGGGGAAGGAGGATGGGAAGGAGGGTGGAGGTATGGGGAGGGAATGTACGGTGATGAGCCAGTCAGGAATCACCAAGGGGAGTAAGGGAAAGTCTTGTCTCAACTGTGGCTGCAGTGCAATGACTAGCTCCAGCGTTTCACAGGTGAGATGCAACTCAGCAAATTGCAGGTCCATATACGCAAGCAATTGGTTACTACCAAAAAGTCACTGTAAGCTTACCAGATAGTCAGTTGGCTTGTGGTATAAATCAAGAGTACACAGTTGAATAGCCATTTTCTCCTACCTTTTGGTGGGTGGGGTCTTCTAATGGAAATGGCAAAATAAACACAAAAAACTGAGTCATTTATCAAGACCTCTCGCAGTAAGCTAAAAAAATGAAGTTCAAATTACATGAAAACCACAACATTTGAGCAAACTCCCTCTTTTGTGGGCGGGACACTGGTCATAATTAGGGGGTGGGGAAATTACAAATTACAAAATAATACAATATCTATCCAAACCCCTTGTCATTTTTGTTCTTATTTTGGCCTTAGCAGTAAGCAGTAAATAAAAAAGTATATTTCAAATTGCATTTCAATTTGACGCAAGAGTAAGTTCAGTTTTTTTAGTAAAAAAAAGGTAAATTTTTTTTATATAAACAATTAATGATATATACAAGCAATTTTGTGCTTGAAATCCATTTTTTATCAATTACTGTAGATGTCAAAGTTTGACTGTCTATTTTCTTTAATCAAATCCAGCACAAAAATGGGACACTTGAGGAAGGACTGAAGAAAACGTTTGGCGGATTTAAAGGAAGGAATAACTTTTTTCAAATGGTTAAATTTCACGTCATATTTGAATTCTAAGTGACTTTCAGTTGTTAAATAAAGGTCAACCTCCAAAATCAAAAACCAAAAATCTTGGAATATTCCCCAAATTTTTGTGTCACATTGGCTGTAATAATGTAAAAATTGTGCCATATTTCAGTTAATTATGGCTAAAGTCGGTTAAAAAAAATTGATTCGCTAAGAGTTTGGCCAGAAATCTTGGGAGAAGCAGATACTTGGTAATAAAAGAATAAGGCAAGATTACCATATGCGAAGTTCACGAATTTTCCTCTGTATTGACTAACAAGCCCCCAGATAGCAATTTCATGTCATCAAAGTCAATTTGAGCAGTGAGAAAATACAAGCATTTTCTTAGAAAACACTTAGAATTTTTCAGTTCACTCTCATAGGGTTTGTACACAGAGTGTTGAGTGAACTTCGTATATGGAAATCTTTCCAAAGAATAATCTGCAAATTTAAAAAAAGATGTATATTTTAATCTAATCAACATTGTTACTTTTCCAAATCTAATCTACATGTATGTTGGTCAAATTCATTCCACTACGACTGAAGCTACACATGGGCATCGCGAAGTCATATTGGTTAAAATTTAATGGGTTGGGGGTGGGGGGTGCAAAATGTCCCTGCTCCCCTCTAAAACTGATTAACCGAGAATATGTTGAGAAATACACAAGAATTTTTGGGGAAAATATGTTTTGCCCCCTCTAAAAAAAAACCTGGCGACACCCCAGACGGCGACTAGACTGGTACATGCCCAACCATAGCCCCATAAATGTGGCCAATTTACTGGACTACCTCCGTAAATAAAGGCCACACTTCCATCATACAAAAACATGTCGAATTTTGTCAAATTTTGATTTTCACATTTAGGGTTAGTTTGTAGTTTATTTTTGCTTTAGAAGCATACTCACCCTCTTTATAGGTTAATCAGAAAGTGCTGCCTTTTTCAGATGTCTAATTTTCGTGAAATTTCATGTTGAAATTTTGATACGCAAACATTAGCTCTGTAGTACGGCCAGACCGCCAATGCTCCCCTACACGCTGAACTCTAATGTAGCGATTTTGCTACCGATTTTGATCGAGATTATCTTTTCATCCAGGACAGAAATTTCCAAAGTTAAGGTTCCTAGTCGTAGAAGAACTCATACCTTTTTGAAAAAACGTTCTTTTATCTCAAAATCTTCATCCATCTGACCAAAAGACGACATTCAGTCATCATCACCCACAAAATCGTCCCGAAATGTTTCCTCCATGCGATTTCAAAAAGGCGGCCGCATTGTAATGTATGCATTATGCGGGCGCGCTTGGGCAACTTATGAATATGCACTGAATTTCATGACGTTTGTCGGGCGCTCGGTGCGGCTGGCCATACAAACACGAGGTCATGAACTGAATATAATGCATATTCATAACCTTACCCAAGCACGCCCGCCTAATGCATACATTACAATGTGGCCACCATTTTGAAATCACATGGGGGGAAAAGATTTTCGTGGGTGATGATGACTGAATGTCATCTTTTGGCCAGATGGATGAAGATTTCGGGATAAAAGAACGTTTTTTCGAAAAGGTATGAGTTCCTCTACAAGTAGGAATCTTAACTTTGGAAATGTCTGTCCTGGATGAAAAGATAATCTCGATCAAAGTCGGTAAAAATATCACTACATCAGAGTTCAGCGTGTTGGGGAGCATTGGCGGTCTGGCGGTACTACAGAGCTTGTGATAGTACCGGCACAGCCAGACGCAGTCAGGCTACGCAAACCTGTGCAAACGAATCTGGAAATTTCACGAAAAATAGACATCTGAAAAAGGCAGCACTTTCTGATTAGCCTATAAAGAGGGCGAGTATGCTTCTAAAGCAAAAATAAACTACAAACTAAGTCTAAATGTGAAAATCAAAATTTAACAAGCCTCGTTTAATTGTGTGATTAAAAAAGTAGGCCTAAACCTAGCCCGACTGCGTCTGGCCGTACAGTACTATCGCAAGCTCTGTAGTACGGCCAGACGCTGAATGCTTCCCAAAAGACTGAATTTTTTTGGCCGCTGATGTAGCGATTTTGCTACATCTTTTGATCGAGATTATCTTTTCATCCAGGACAAAAATTTCCACAGTTAAGGTTCTTAGTCGTAGAGCAACTCATACCTTTTCGAAAAAACGTTCTTTGGTCTCAATATTTTCATCCATCTGGCCAAAAGACGACTTTCAGTCATCATCTTCCACAAATATCGTCCCGAAAATGCTCCCCCATGCGATTTCAAAATGGCGGCCGCGCTGTAACTCATGAATATGCATAAACAGTCTGTGACGTATGACCTCGTGTTTTTGGACGTGCGTCGACAACAGCCCAGTACGTGCGTGCATACCGCCGCGCGGACGTACTTGTGCATGCACGTACTTGGCTGTTGTCTACAAGTAATGTACATGTACGTACATGTACGTACGGCGCCGCCGCACGCACGTCCAAAAACACGAGGTCATACGTCACAGACTGTTTATGCATATTCATGAGTTACAGCGCGGCCGCCATTTTGAAATCGCATGGGGGAGCATTTTCGGGACGATATTTGTGGAAGATGATGACTGAAAGTCGTCTTTTGGCCAGATGGATGAAAATATTGAGACCAAAGAACGTTTTTTCGAAAAGGTATGAGTTGCTCTACGACTAAGAACCTTAACTGTGGAAATTTTTGTCCTGGATGAAAAGATAATCTCGATCAAAAGATGTAGCAAAATCGCTACATCAGCGGCCAAAAAAATTCAGTGTTTTTGGAAGCATTCAGCGTCTGGCCATACAACAGAGCTTGCGATAGTACTGTACGGCCAGACGCAGTCGGGCTAGCCTAAACCAACAAAAATTCAAAACAAATGGGAACTCAACTGAAACAAAGATATATTTCCGAATGTCTTCGAGTGGGGAGAACTGAAAACTTTGGTATTATAAGAACACAAGTAACCAGTTACAAACACCCCCCCCCCCGTCTTACACCACGCCCCCCCCCCCCCCCCCCCCCCCCCAAGGAGTTTCAAAGCACACGATTCCACGAATGTGACGGTGCATTTTTTGCATCAAAAAATTTGGCAAAATTAGTTTGAAACAAGGTTTACTTCTACACTCACCAAGTTGGCGGACCATTAATTCGTCAAACTACTATAATTTGAAGACTCAAAGAAGAATTTACGCACGGTAAAATGTTCTCCCAAATTCGAAGACCAATCGTGTCGAAACTCCTCATTCTGGGCGAAAAATTTGACATGGCCGGATAAGGTTGGCCGGTACCTGGCGGATGCACATAAATACTAACAGGTTGATGTGTACCAGGGAAACACGTGGTATTGATCTAGAAATTCAAAGCTTTCGGCGCGCGAGCAGCGGTGATAGCCTCGATTCAAGCCTTGGCAGGTTTCACTGCACCGCAATGCTGGTTGCCCTTCACGAAGTAAGTGAACCGTGATTGTTCCAAATCGACTTTAACAAAGACAACATATGCAAAACTTTGCAGATTTAAAAAAATATCTTTTCCTAAAAAATCTAAATTTTCCGTGCGGCCATGAGGTATTTTTCAAACCTTGTATTGGTTCTGTTCCCTTCCGGCTTAGGCTTCATGGGCTTGTCAAGTTCGTGATTTCAACTGAGCAAACTCGAATCAGATCGGTCAAGACTAATCGCAGGCCCCATTTTCTGGTACTGGATAACTGATTATAATTATGTTATGAAGCACTAAAAAAAAATGTTTAATTTTAAGCATTGAAAGACCATTTTAAGTTACAAATTCAGAAGATTGCAGGTGAAATATGACTCCGAACGCCCCCCCAAAATTCCGCGCATGAGGCAAGAGGGAACTTTAAAAAGTTGTACTCGTTTATGATCTATCCTTATTCGCGGCTTCTCTTGTAGACTAGTATACTTGATTGAAAATTACATGTTCATTAATATATGATAATCGGGGAAAGAAACTGGCTCTCAAAAATTTGCTGTCACCATATTTATTGACACATTTACCTAGCACGCTATAATCAAGTGACATCGTTGATGATGCAACACCACGTGCATTTGCTGAAATTTGAATATCCCTCCAATACAATAGTCTATTACCTTATTTGGGTATAATGCAAATTCAGATGACGCTTATGAATATTTTAGCAACAATAATATTAAGGCCGGGTTTCCTTTTAAATTTCACAGGGCTCCGAAAGTACAGGGTCTTTTTTTCCGAAATAAAATAAAATAATTATTCAATTTATGAAGCCTCGACTCCTACTCCTAGCCCTCGTATTGCAACAATAAAACTTCGCATAAAGCAAGGTTGTACGGCCGCGATGCATCCATGTGTATAAATACAAATATTCTGTTGCACTGACGCTGCAAAATCCGGTATAAATGAAAATAAAGGTGATTTTTTATTTACGTAATTCACCAAAGCGTACATTTTTTTTGGTTAAAGATTAAAGCTACTTATGTTGATGAGTCGTTATTGCTAAAGAGCGCCCTCATGCTACAACCAATGACATAAAGCCACATTGCGCTACCACGTAGACTGGTTCCGCGACAGCATTACAACGATATAGATCCCGTATGCACAGGGAACAGGTCCAAAATATTTAGCATCGGGGAAAACACGGAAAATCGTGCAAAATGAACACCGTTTTATCGCGAGCTAACACAATTTTCGCCTTTACGCTCAGCGTACTGGCAGCCTTGACGTTTTGCTGCTTTCTGACGACAGCCTTCGATAGCAATATTGCCCCATTTTACGTGGAAACAGCAAAACATCTGGTGTGAGTACAGCTTTGATCAGTTAATTGATGGGGCTTGTTTTGCCGTGCAGTGGGCGGATCCAACCGGGGGGGGGGGGGGGTGGCCCAAAAGCCAAAGGGGTGGGAGAAGGGGGTGCAAAATAAAGTAGGGGTATTTTTGGTAAATAATTTTAACCTCATTGTGACTGTGTGATCAGGATGATTATGTAAATTCATTTAATGAAAGCAAACAAAAAGAAGAACTTTTCGAAAAGTGAAGCAGTTCACCTTTTTCTTATCACTGAAATTATGACTAAGTAAATAGCAATAATCTACAAACTTGTATCCACAGGAAGAACACCTACACTCAGCATGGAGAGAAGGTCGACCGAGGCCATATAACCTTTGACCTGACCTCTGACCTTGATCCATTATTCAGTTGGAACACCAAGCAGCTATTTATTTACCTCATGGTGGAATACAAAACACCACAAAATGTAAGAACTTTTATTGACAAATTTTCTGAGCCATTGACATTTATTTCCATTTTTTCCTCACAATTGCAGATTTCAGAAACACATCTTATGCAGTATTTTGCACGAGTCTAATTGAAATTTCCCCTACAAATATTGCCCTCCCAAAAAAGAGTATTTGAACAAGGAATTAGATGAAAATTTAGGATGAAAGAAATATAAACATGAGGCCAAACTCAATTCTTTAACCCTAACAGAACTCAACCTATCAAATCCCAACGGCATGTTTTTGTTGGAATCTGTCAGGATGGGTACAGTACCCCTAAACCGACAGTCTTTTACATTGGGTTGGCACACCTCCAGAAACAAAGTCAGAAATATGTGTGTGCAGTTTCCCATATGGTGTTGGAATTTGCCAGGATGGGTATGGTTAAATCATGCTAGGGAGTTACGGTTGATCAGTTTAATTTTTTTTGCCTTTTCTCATTTTCATAAATTTCAGAAACTAAACCAGGTGGTGCTATGGGATAAGATCATCGTGCGAGGTGGCAAAGCGAATCTGGACCTCAAAAATATGAACCTGAAATATCCCTTTTATGATGATGGCAACGGTTTAAAGTGAGTATTGTTCCGAAAGGAAAGAATGCTGTTGAATTTTATCAAAGTTGCTGAAGTTTCTATAGTTCTTGAAATTGGAATGTGGACAATTGTTGGTGAAATGAAAACTTGACAAATGCATTGTAAATGGAAATGAAGTATTTGTCATGGCCTAAAAAATAAACTTAGAGGAAATAAGTCTAGAACCAAGGGTTGTCACTGTGTAATGAGATGGGAAGATTGTAGCTGTTGTGGGCTTTAGTCAGCTGATAAGAAGAACCCTTTGCGAGTGAAAACCCATCTATTTTGACGTCATGTTTTCTCCACTGCAGTGTATTCTAATTTTTCAATAAGCTTTTGTATTTTGCCTGCAGAGGTCATGAAAACATCACAATGACGCTGAATTGGAATGTCGTTCCTGGCGCAGGGTTGCTACCGAGGATAGCTGGCGATGGCAGACATGTCTTTACATTCCCCAACGAATACAGTACAAAGAGAATATAGGGAACCGCTAGCACCTTAAATTGTGCCTAATTTTTAAAATACAGGGTGGTGCAAAAAGAAGGAACCCACTTTTGACAGGGATTTTAACCTACTTAAACTATTTGAACTTTTTTTTAAATAATGTAGTGAAGTATAGCTCAACCATACGTGGTGAAAAAATCTTTCAAAAAATCGTGAGAATAGTGTTATTATGCTAATTTGAATACAAGTCACCAAAATCACTGTTGTCCATGTGTAAGTCTAGTGTAGTGTTTTTATTTGTCTTCAAATCAAGCTCCGGAGCTCAGTCAAGTGGATGGAATAAAGCCATCCATGGACAAACAGGTTAGGCTCATGAAATTTTTAAAACTACAATATCTTGGAGACAAAATTGCAATCATTTTTTCGTCACTTATGTTTAGAGATCAATATGTTAATACCATTAAGTTAAATTTTTGAAATATGCTTAACAAGTAGGTGAAAATTGCTGTCAAAAGTGGGTTTCTTTTCTTTGTGCACCACCCTGTAGTTTGGGTGGGTGGGATGGAGGGGTGGGGGTGGGGGGGGGGTTGACACTACATGACATGTTGCCAACTATTCATCTTAAAAAGGCATACACATATGTACACATAAACACCGCAAAAAAAAGTCAGCACTCACTGGAGGGGTAATAATTTGAATTTGATCGTCTTTGGATAATGTCATTTATATGGTCCACTAGGGAATTTGGTTGGCTACATTTTGACAACGATTTGTGAAAAATGATGCAGGTTGTAAAGTTGCAAATTTACATAGTACGCAAGGAGAAATTGCCAATCGCAAACACACATGCCCGTAATTGGCCCCATCGACAGCACAGTGCCCGAACAAAGCGTGGGTAATTCAATGTCGCATGCTCCCATGCACTGGTCGAATGATACTCCCTGCCGTTCGTTTGGGGTTGTGTAACATTGTCACGCAGCAATTTCCACTCGCGTACTGTAACTTGCAACTTTTCAAACTGCATCATTGTTCGTAAACCGTTGTCAATCTTGGATGATTTACAGTCTTTGGTGGCAAACAGGGTATCAAAATGTAGCTAAGAAAATTCCCCAAAGGTTCTTTTTAAATGATGTCATCATAAGACGATCAGATTCAAAATTATGACCCCTCCAATGAGTGTCAATTACCTGTCAATTTCTTTTGAATGGGCACTTCCCTTGTGTTTTAAGTGTGTTTTGTGCACAGGTAGATTATTATGGTAATTATTAAATTTGAGGTGATGTCAAGTATTGGTTGCAAATACATGTATTAACAACTTATTTATGCTTCTCTTTATGTTTTCTTTCTTTTCCTCTCAAATAATCCTTTCGCTGTATTTCACTTTTAAAGATATGTGTTGCCTTGTAAAGTGCAGTAAAAGGGGAATATAAGAATATCGGAACAAGATTTTTTAAAGATCAATTTCGGACCTATTGAGGGCACTGTCGTATTTTTTTTGGGGGGGGGGGGTTCAAAATACAATTTCATAGACTTTTATGAAACTAATAAGATTTGCAAAATGTAGCAATTGTAGTTATCACCCCAAACTTGTACTGGACAGTGCCACTGATTGAATTAAAGTAATAGAGGTTTTAAATTTAACAGCAATGAATGGCTGTTCAACTGTGGTAAACTGCTCATGTGTTTAGCTTGCACCGGCAATTTAAAGTAAAGATTGTGTTTTTCTAATTCGCAATCCAATCCCACAAAGACCAATTTAAAGGTTTTTCTATCATCAATTTGAATATTAAAGTAATAAATAATTGAGAATTCATGTCTGGTCTGATGTTTTTGTTACTTGTCTAATATTGTGTTAATAAAAACCTCATATGACAAATTATTGAAATATGCATGCATTATGTGAGAAGTTGACTCGCGATCATTATAGGGCCAATGGGCTGAATTAAAATTTTGTGGAAAATTTTTCAGAGTACTTTTCAAACATTACGGCTGTCCATTGGGGATTTCCAAATAATCTAGCATTTGATTATTCAAAACTGCACTTGATCGAATATTTTAAAATTATATCTATTAATCAGGATTACAAAAAAAAGGGAAAAACAAAAACCATAATTCAATGCAAGTCTTGAAAAGACTTGAATCTGCAGACGACTGATTTTATCTGAACTTGAACAATAAAAAGAAACCACTGTTTTACATAATCAATATTCTAAAGTCTGTACATTTTTTATTAATATACTGTTGCATTTTTGTTGAATAGGATCCAGTAAATGTATGCTCGGCATTTATACATTTTTAAAAAATGACCAAGTAGCTAAAGTAGCCTCTGATTGAAGCGCCATCTGTTGACCTTCATAAGGGAGTGGCAGGCAAATGTTTCAAGTGCGAAGCTCCGCAACATCTGAAGTTTGTATCATATTTGATAACTAAAAAAAAAGCCGAGTACCTTTCAAACTTGTGTATGGAAAAATACATACTGAAAGGAAAATAAAACACACTTTCCAATACTTCATTACTCAGAATGACATACTGGTCACCCAAATACGTACATGTATACGGATATAGTTTTTAATTAGTCTTAACCAGTTCGCGCCGGGAAAATTTTTGCTGAAAATTTCGATTTTCAAAAAAAGCAAAATACAGCAGCCAACTTCTGATAAACAGCCAAACGCCACAAATACTGATTCGCAAGAGTCATTTCAACAGTATTTGAATGATAGTTCTTGCCCAAACCTCATATTTTGCAACAGGCCGTGCACAGCGGCCAATTCAAGATCAACAGACGGTCCGCCTCCACAGACTTCATGGACTTTGTGTGTGTGTGTACAAAAGACACAGGGATAACCTTGTTTAGACGTCACCCGAAGCCGTGCCTGTGTCTAAAAACAGCCAGTGCATGTTAACACGGCCTCCGACGTGAACTGGTTAATATTACAAACAAAGAAATTATTGGGACCCACAATCAATTTCTCAAAGTGCATTTTAGTTATGGGAAAAGTTACCAAAATGACGACGCCTTCACAGGTTCACACCTATAAAGAATTTCAAATACAGTAACATTTAACTGGAAAGCCCAAACATATTTTTTAAGTAAAATATTGCAGAAGACTTTACACGTGGACACACGTGGACAAAGTAAAATCCAGCTTTGAAGCACAAAAATACGATTTTGCTACTACTGCTGTGTGAACTTTAAAAATAAAGTGGAAAAGAAATTGAAAATGTGCGTGATGGATTTAAACATGTTTTCTCACAATGCATGTTACAGTGTTTGAGTTTTAGTTAGCGGTAGAGTAGAGTAGATCATTTATCATTTGTGCATTTTTTTTCGTTTAAAGCAACAAAAGAGCTCAAAATCTAAAGAAGGGTGCTTAACAACTAACCTGATGAAGGTTTAGCTCAGCGAATGCTGTATATTCTGAGACAACAATATTCTAGGATCTCGATTTCAATTCAAAAGTTGCTGAGCCATGTTTTGAATTGCACCCGAGATCAGCGTCCGGGACACATTCTCATTCAGCCGATTGCAGCTACGCGATGAAACGCACTGAACTGAGGAATAATATAGCAACCGCGCACAGGTGTGCGTCGTGTCAATGCTTGCGCACGCACCCATTCACTGCTTCGCTGAATTAAAAACGAACTACTAACGGCAATTTCCAAAGATGCATTTGATAATACTTTTTTTTTAGAAGTGCCTCCAAAAAATGTCTGCAAGAGACATATTGAGGTTAACGAAACATGTCTTGAAATATTTTACAGTCCTTTTTACTGCAATGGGGTAGTTTTGACAGAATAAATAGATACACTGATTGAACCATTCACATAAATTAGTTTATAGGCTAAGGCCCATGGTCAAAATTGTCTGTTTTTTTTGTTGTTGTACAGAGTCGCTGCATTCCAAATAAAGATGAACCACAAATCTCTTTTTTTTCTGCTTACATCTGAATTTCACTACATCCGTGTTTTTTTTCACATGAAAAAAATCTTCTAGTGGAACTCGATTAAATAAACGACATCTCTTGTTATTTATAAAAATCCTCTCCATCTCACCACCTTGAGGATCTGGTAGGGTTAGGATTGAAAGTACAATTATGTCAGTCGAGTAGAAAGCTGTCTTAAAAAACAAATCCAATTTTGAAACCAACCACATTGTATCCCCAATTATTCAAATCAATAAATCCATTTTACAATATACAAAATATTAACATCTCTCTGACAATTTGATAAATATACAAATGTACTCAATATTCATCTAAATTCATAATACATTCTAACTTTGGCAACTCTAAGTTTGTCAAATCATTTTAAAAACGAAAACAACTTTTCTTGAATTTTTGTGTGTTGCCTTTAGAAAAATATCACTTTTTTTCAAGGATACAACAAAAGTGCATTAGAAAAAGTTAAACTGTGACCTTACTAACAATATATATAAGAGAATATACAAATAATGAATCAGTGCGTGAAATTAGACCAAAAAAGTGGTCGGACAAAATGTCCGAGCACAATCAAAAGTGTTCTGCCATTGTCAAGTTTTGATCTGCCATCTGAGACGAACTTTCAAAAGGCCACGTTTACTATACTTCAAACACGTGGACGGTACATACACGTGTGTACATGTACAGTATGTATGTTTACGTACGTACGTATCCATAATACACACTATGTAGTTGCAATGACAAGCGCCGGGCATTCACCCGCTCGTTTCTGTAGTAAGCCACGTTGTGAGAATTTAGTAACAATCACGCACTTAAAGCATACCGCGCAACACAACCTACTTTGATCTTGCTAAATTCTCATTACATGTATGCGCGTCAATGTCCTTATAATATTTAGACTCGTCACTATACAGACTCATTCAAGTCTGAAGAACACATAACTTAAACTGGGTGAAATTGCAGTTCTGAATGTCCAAAGAGGCTCGATGGAATCATTATAGCAAGGAATATATAGAGGTTGAATCAGGTCCAATTTAACACTTTTGCCCAATAGAAATTAACTGGGAATTCCACAAACGGCCACTGCTCATTTCCATAAAATGACTTGAAAAGTACAAAAAGTTGTATTAACTGATTTGTAGAAGAAACACGAAGACTGCTGATCGAAACACAATTTATCGACTTGATTTCACGTCTATTTTTTGGCAAACGGCACGTACGTACGAATGCCAATCTATCGCTGTGCACGCCGCGCTGTACCAGACTGTGTAATGATTGGGGTGTAAACGCGTTGCATCTATTGCGTGAATATAAGACAACACGTACATGTAGTTAGCAGCAGCTCAGCGTACGGTAAGTATTACAGACCGGATCATCGGAAATAACCAACAAAATACTTTTGAGCGCAAGCGTTTATTTCATACTTCTGAAAAAGACAACTCCACAAAGAAAACATAAATCACTCGGACATTTTGTCCGAGCACATCTGCATTTGGTCGGACAAACCATGAAAGTGGTCGGAAAATGTCCGATGTCCGACCGTAATTTCACGCACTGATGAATATTTATGAGTTCAAAGGTAAGAATAATTTCATGAGGTGACAGATGGACTGTTCCATTACACGAGGCGAAGCCGAGTGCAATGGAACATTCCATCTGTCACCGAATGCAATTTGCATTTCCATTGCACGAATGTGAAACATTCATTATTTGTTTTATACAACACCTGAATAAATCCTTGTCGTCTGATTGGTCAGAGCCACCAATCATGTGACTATGCATTGGAACTTCTATTTACTGTGGAATAGAACTTTTATTTCTGCAGTGCCGCCGGGCCATGGGTTGGGGCGAATAATTCACTGACATGTGATCAACCACCCACCAATCAGATGACGGGGATTTATTCAGACTTTGTATAATAAAATCAAATAATAATTGAAGAATATTTTATATTTGATTATTTAATCCCACTACCAATTTTAATAGCCATTAAGAAATGATTCCGTTTATCCTGCTGCACCTAAATACTTTGCGGTGAGAGGCAGTTTCTTGAAAAGGCATGGCAAATTTGTTTGACATTTGTAGGAAAGCTGCTTGGATGGTCAATTTTTTCTTCCAAATTCCTGGACAGATTTGGGGTCTAGTATTGCAATATACTACTTTCTCTGTCAAAAAGAATATTTTGTGATCACATGAAATCTTACACAAGCACTAAAGAGACACACACACGTTGTGTGTGTGCGTGTCACTTAATACACACAGCTTCAATACACAAATGTTGTTTCTCACACATCCGCAGAATGTGAACCACTATGCAGCAGGATTCACAACTAGCACTCAACAGCTCGATTTTCGAGAGTCAAAATTGTGACCCCAGAAATTCGAATTCACATGGTTGGTGCAAGAATAATACAAAAATGCCCAGTTTTTAAAGGATGGTTGTGTGGATGTTTATATCCCACTTTTAAATGCTGTTTCCAATTAATATCATTTTGTTTAAAAAACATTTTGTAGCCCAATTAGGTGTTTTCCAGGCCTTAATGTCCCTTTAACCCTAACCTCCAGGGAATTTGGGCTAGAAACCCTACCAACACAGCAACATGCAACACTTGTCTAAATGACAAGCCTGCCCAGTGCAGCAAGATCCATCAGGTCAAAAGTCTCAAGGCCAAACTGCAGGATACAACTGTGGCATTGTTCTATGGGATTAGCTCTCATTGTCACAGCACTGGCCGTTTATGCACTGGTGTTGATAGCTGAATGCATCAAAGTGCACCAGACTTTTCCACCTGATGCACTGTGTTCCGTCTGGCAGAGTTAGGGTTAATTGATGTTTTGAATTGGACGACTGCAAAAAAATCGCAGCCAGAAACTTACAGAATACTTCAAGTACTGGAGAGAATCCGTACTTGTAACCTGAATATATCTCGAGCTTTGTCTTTATTTCAAAGCCTTCATTTCCTTTCGACAGACCTATACAACAGAAAGTAATAAAATGGATACCTTATACAAAGACGTGGGTGAACCTGCTGTCTGAGCTAGAGATCTCTCGCTTGGTAGAAGAGAATATACCCCGAGTCTGATGTCTTTTGGACCTCCGTTGCAAGTCCGTAGAACTCCTCGATGTTAGAAACGTCAATTTTCTGTTGGGAGAGGCCACAAACAGACACATGAAATTGGCTTACAAGCCTTGTGTGGCGTACAAGTGTTCAGATAAGTCCAAGGTTTGTACATACAAAAACAATTACTTGTTTCTCGAAAATGTAATAAATAAGTAAATTGTAATGCTTTTATAGTGCTTTCCATTGTATCAACAATCTCAAAGCACTTTACAATTATTCCCCCATACATCAGGCCACGAGACCACGCTGCAGCCGATATCAGCGCACATTCAGTCCTCTACCCTCACAGGTACCAATTGATACTCCTGGGTGGAGCGAGGCAATTGTAGCTAAGTGTCTTGCCCAAGGGCACAAACACCATGTTCCTGGCAGGGTTCGAACCCACGCACCATCGTGCGTGAGTCAAACACAGAAATAGTATTCTACCAGAACACTGCCATCTAACACACTGCCATTACTTTCAACCATTTTAGAAAATGATCAGCATCAGTTTTCAAATGATACGAACTTGCTAGCCGATGATTTCACCATGTAAAGGTTTCTTATACATCACCTTTCCCTACCCCCTCACAAATTACACTGACAGCAAGACAGAATGCGGGAAAGACAACGTGTCAGTACTCACATCTACAAGGTCATCGTCGAATAGCAGCCAGAAGCCGTGGCTTTTGACGATGGTGATGTAATGACCTCTGTTGGGCCCACTGCAGGGAGAATAACACAGAGAATTGTGTCACAGAACAACTACAAAAACCCAACTGATTTGGAAGTAGAACAACATCAGGAACTCTTCTTAAAAAAGGACATGAGTAAAGCCTGCTGCACACTTTTCCGATTTTACCGGTTCACAGGATCATCAGGCCATCAGACGTACGGATCGGAGAGCTGTGCGTTGAAAAATCTGGATGAAATCAAACATGTTTGATTTTTCTCACATCCGATTTCACCAGATCCGATATCAGCAGAAAGGTGTGCGGGCAGCACTCCGATTTCACTGGACCCTCATTTATGTTAACCAATCAGATTCACGAAGGAAGTCACATGATTCAAAATTGACGCCTGCCATTTTGTCATGTGACTTGTCATCATGTGACTGGTCATCATGTGACTGATCATCATGTGACCAATTATAGAACAGCATCTGTGCGGGTAATGTTGCCGTCTCCGCAACGGTAAAAAAAATGTACCTGTGATCCGGTAAACCGGTAAAATCGGAAAGGTGTGCGGTGGGCTTAAAGCCCTTAATTGCAGAAAGACTAAAAAATAAAACTGCTTCAAGGAAGAGGAAACCGCACTGAATCAGGTGTGTTAATACTTTGAAAGGATAAATTGCCTACGAAAACCTCCTCTGGACTTGTCTAAAAAATATAGGAAAAATGTTGATTTCTTGGCTGTACCTTCCACAGTGGATGACAACAGAAACCAAATCATACAGCTTGTCTGGGCTGGTTGCATCATCAGACTGTGAACGAAGGACATACATTGGGATTAGTGTTTAACAAATAACTTTAACAGAAAAGAAAAACAGCACACTCACTTTTGCTTTGATCATTCCTTGATCTGTTTACAGCAATTTTAATATAAAGCTTGAATATAAAGCAACGTTGTCTGTAATATTAAGGTAGGTGAGGTATATTGTAACATTGTGTAAACAAAAATAGAAAATGGTTCCTGTGGCAAACTACGTATGAAGTTTATTAGCCGATGCTTTATGTAATTGAACTGTTTTCTGGAGGGACTGACCGTGTTCATGAGCCTGAGCTCCAGCGGGAATACAACGCGGTAGGACAGCTTGGTGTAGCGGTGGACCTGCTCCATGTACTTGAAGCGCTTCAGGTGTAAGGCAAGGATCTGAGGCAGTTTCTTCACTTGCATCCTGGAGTAATAAGGGAAAAATAAAATCATTTATGGAGGGAAACTTCTTGATTACTGTGGACTAATGTTGTGCATTGGGTCGGGTTGACCAGGCAAACATTAAAGATATAAACCATTAAAGAGTGGCAACTCTAAAAATTCTGTCAAGCAAAATAGAAATTCATTTACTTCAAACAAGAAGCTGTGAGTGTCTTGTATCAAAATTGATATGTTGTACATTAACAGGCTCCAAGACGATCACGATTTGCTGGTAAAATAGGTCACTGACTGCGCAAGTTACGCCATAGTTTATTGCACAAGTCGCGGACTTACGCACTATGAGACTTTCGTGAAATGTGTCATCAGTGAAATGTTGCGCAGCGTGAAATATTGCGCAACTTAAGCAATACATTGTGGCGCAAGTGGAGTTGTGCCACTGCGTAAAGTTTCGTGAAATCGGCTGCTATACCTTTACATATTCAACGGATAATACCGGAATAATAATACCGGAGTCTTATATAGCGCACATATCTACCAACAATTAGGTGCTCAAGGCGCTGGTAATTATGTCTATTTTTAAAGACAGGAAAATGAAGTTTCATAAGAAATATGAGACCCATTATGTAGCACCTTTATAAGGGTTTACAAGGATAGAAAGTTTCAATTCCAAAAGAGATAAAGTGAGATGCATGGGAGTTTTTCTGTTTACCTTTTCTGAGCCTCCTGTTTACTGCAACACGTCTCACAATAGTATTTACATTCATGGCAGAGTGTCTCCGTGTTACTAAACCCTCTGCAATAGGGGACAAAAATAGATATGAGGTGTTACCAATAAACAAGCAAGATTTGCAATTTTTGACATACGTGTGTATCTCTCTCAAAACAAATAATTTTACAGGGGGCTAGGGAAAGGAAATTGGAAAGGGTTTAGTTGAGAGGGGTGGGGTAGGCGACATGGGGAACATAACAAGTAGTAGGAGGGGGTTTAGGCAAGGAGGCGTGTATGAAATGGTTTGGGGGAAGGGTAACATTTTTTACAATGTGCTTACTTGAGACAGTGGGTGATGGATGTGTTCTGCTCCACATCAACAGACAAGTCTAAGAAGTCCTCGTCCTTACTGCTTACCTACATCCACAAACAAACAAATAAACAAACAAACAATTACAATGATAACAATAAACATTATACTTATATAGCGCCTTAGCCATGAGAGATAAACATGCTTCTAGGCATTTACACTAAACTATGTTAACCCTCCTGCTATCTGAACAGTCACAGACAGTAAAAAAATCAATCCTCTTCCCCTACCATGCCTTTTACTCAGGCTAGTCACTAACAGTCAGATCATATTTCAAGCAAGCACTGTGACTTGTCAAATTCAGTTAACAGACAAAAACTGGTAAGTGGTAGGCACACCTGGCTTATCAATTACCAACAGTCAAAGGATAGCTGCATCAAGTTATATAAACAGTCACAGCCAGTCAATTCTGCTTTATGTAGGCTGGGAGCTCTTAACTGTTGAAAACAGTTACTTGATTGATTTTGACTGAAAGGACAACAGCATTGCAGGATCTTTTGGCTGGTAACCTCTTTTTACTAAGCAAATATTTTCTGTATTTCGCAAGAGTTTGTGTTAAGCAGTTTTATGGTATTATACTCACCCCTTCACAGCAGAGGCATCTTGTCTCATTGGTCAGGGTGCCTTGAAAGATTTCATGGATCCACGTTGGTTCATTCTTCTGATGGTGGTGGTCGTTGTTGTTGCTTAGGGAGCCATTGGGCGTGCTGACTTTGCTGTTGGGTTTGCTCACTTGCTTGTCTGCTGCCCTCTCGGCTTCAAAATGGAAATGAAAAGGATGCCAACTTCAAGGGTAATGCTTGGAAAATGCAGTAATTGTGAAAATGACTTTAAATAGATGCACAGTTTAATAGTGGGTTTTGAAGGAAGTTGAGCATTCGAGTCCCACCCAAGAAATTCTGGCTAACAAGCTCTTGAACAACAGCGAGTACAATAGTGTTTATAAAATTCCCCCGGTAAAGGGTCAAACCTTCTATAACAAACTGTCAAAATATTTTACATTATGACTGAAAAGGCCACATCAATAGGCTTTATTCACGAGTCAGCCATATTAAATTCAAAGAGAGGTAAAATTTTCATTTTCAATGAAAGTAATGAAAGAAAGTTAATTACAAATTAATACCAGTCTGCTCTGATGAATAATTAAAAATTTGTGATTAAGTATACGCTATTTTTTTTAAACCACATTTGAAAAAAAAATTGAAATTGAGATTGAATAGTCTGGCACCATCCCATTCACAGTTTACAAGGCCTATTTACACATACGTAATTTTGTCCAAATGACTATGTCACCCTCGGCAATGTCACACATGCACAAAATGCATATAAAAATGGGCGAAATTATCATGCACTAAATCGTGATCAAAAATGGGAACGCGATTGAAAATGGCTTGCTCGTGATTAAGGTCTATAGTGAGAAAGACTACCTACCAGATAAGATGTCAGCTATTGTGTTTAGTAGATAGATGAGGAACTCATGTGCATCCTGTTGCATGTAGTTGTCAAACACCTCTGGGAAACAGAAAGCGAATACCACCAGTCAGCATTTGTCATATATCTTCCTCTCATAACTTGAAACATGACATTTCTACTTGTTGGTAACGTTAGTGTTACCCAAAAACTGATGGCGGGGCTAAGTGACTCAATAAAACATTCTGCTTTGTTGTATGCACATTACCCGCCTGAATGACATATAATTTAACAGATTCCCCAGCAGGTTTTCTGCGGAAAAATATTTTATGCTTCTATGGAAGCTAAATGAAAATGGGCCTTTACAAAGTATGGAACTTTTTAATAAACATATTAATTAAATAAAACGTAAAAGTCCTCAAGAACTTTAAAAAGAAAAAACCTAAGAAATTACATATTTCGCCTTTGTTTTCCCCAAATTTCTCCAACCAATTTAAACAGCTACAGACAGTCAAAATTTCCATCCACTTTCCCTGCAACACAGGCTAGTCACCAGCAGTCAGGTCATATGTTAAACAAGCACTGTGACTAGTCAAACTCAGACAACAGACCATTAACACAGCTAGCTTATCAATTACCCCCAGTCAAAGTAAAGCTGCACCGAGTTACAAGAACAGTCAAAGCCAGTCAATCCTGTTTAATGAAGGTTGGGAATTCTGAACTGTTGAAAACATTGATTGATTTTGACTGAAAGGACTAACTCGGCACAGAATGTATGTTTGCATAGGAGGGTTAATTAGCAATAACACAAATCTGTTGCTGTGCATCTTACCATTTTCTTTTCGTAACCTGCCGATGAATTTCTTGGGTGCGATGACGCCAGTCTTCTTCTTCTGCGTGGTGATGTTGTTGAAGAGGTCGCTGAGGCAGGTCAGTAGGTTCTCTTTCTTCTTGGGCTGCGCCCGGTAGCCCAGGACCCTGTCCCTGAACGGCTTGCAGAAGTACAACGCCTGGAGGACCGAGTTGCAGTAGCAGGTGTTCCCAAACTGTGACAGGAAAGCATATCATTATTTGAGTAAGTAGTGTTTTAAAAATTGCACACTATTTCATTTAGCACAAGTATACTCCAATGATATTTGAATGGCCAACCGGTTTCGTGTTTGTGAGCTATTTTCCTGTATGCTTTCTTACTTAACCCCAACTCCCTAGGCATTTTTACTAGTGTGAGGAGGGGTCTATGGGTACGGCTTGCGTTGCTGGACATTTGGGAATAAGTGTGAGTACTTTTCATGTATATAATGACAATGAGCGAAGTCACGCGACGTGTGATAGAGAGCTCATTCCCGTTTGCCCAGTGTTATGTCGGCTCCACGGTCTGACACACACTCATGTAGGTTTATGATATTTCTGTTGATGACAAAATTATTGTGGTTTAGATATTTATCGAGGCAATGTAGGATAGTGCGCAGACTCAGAGCATCTGGAAACACAATACACATTTTCTTTTTGTAGGGTCTGTTTCAAGTTCTCATCATTACTTTTATTTTATAAAAGATCTTATTTCATGTTATCGCCTGCACATCCTTCACCAGCCTGTGCAGGTTGGGCCGTATTAGAACTTGGCACTGAATAAAACCCGACTCCACAGGGCACAACGGAGAGTCTCCACTCTCATGAGAATCTGCGTGCCAGCCCATATGCCCTACGGTACATCGGCCAACCCCTACTACAACCCGTGCTACAAATCCCTGCTACAACCCCAAGGCCCCTCCTCACACTAGGATGCAACCTCAATCCTGCAAAATCCTCCAACTGCATCCATGTAAAAATTGCATGTACAGCCTCAATCCTGCAAAATCCTCCATTTTGCAAAGAGAATTTTTGAGGATTTGGGAAAATTAGGGTTAATGATTATTAAAAAAGGCTCCGAAAGAAGATTTAATATACTTACGTTGACTAATCCGAAGTAATGCTCATTGGTGGGAAACTGGTCTGACCCGATCTCTTTCTCCAAGGCGGATGCATTAGCACCCTACAAGAAAAAAATTCAAGTTATAACTTAAGCAAACAATAAACATTTAATATGTACTTTTGCCCTTCACCAATGTACCAAGAAAGTTCTTGTCAATCTTAAAAAGGGTTGTTCATCTTGAAAACCTTGAGCTTTTTTATTCAGCTTTTTTACAATAAAGGAAGTCAAGATGATTTGTTCCTGACGGAAGATGTTTATCCAAAATTCATTGTAGAATTAAGCTTGAGAAAAACATCTCTGTTTTTATACACATGACCTAAATTTCACCTGCGACTTGTGGAATTATATATAAATTTCGTCGCCTAAAATGTTTTCAAATTAGTGTCATATTTTACATATTTTCTGCATTTTAAATCTCATCTACAGTTGTTTTCCTAGTTCCGGATTTTTCCTAGTTTGGGATCACTTCAAATGAAACCTACCTCTTTTGGATTGGTCCAATAGTGCAATACTATTTTTCCTGACAAGGTGCATTTTGAAAAGTAAAATGTAAGCTTCTTGACTTTTTGATTCAATCTCTAGAAAAGGAATTTCGCTTTTCAGACGTCTATATTTTATGTGATTTCCAGGGTAGTTTGCACACGCGTTGCTGGCGTATCTAAATCCCAACACGAAATTACATGAAAAATAGACGTCTGAAAAAGGGGGGATTAATTTTCTATCGCTTTAAAGAGAGTAAGTGCTTCTATTTTCTAAAGCGTAAATAAACTACAAAACAAATAGGCCTAAAGTCTATGTGAAAATAAAAACGTGACAAAATTCTACATGTTCGGGTACATGGTCAAAGTGTGGCCTTAATTTACGGAGGTAGTCCAGTAAATTGGCCACATTTATGTGGCTAACTAAAATAATGGCGATATATTTTTTATGCATGCATTCCGATTGACAGCACTCAGCAGAATTTTTTTAACCCTGTCTACTTTTTAATTACGGCACTTAAATGGCTACTCCAACGCATTAAAGTTCAGAATTTACAGTCTAAATGCAGTCTGAGATAGTTAATCGACATTAAATTTCATGCAAGACACAAAACTAAAACTTCTTACCATCTTTAAAAAATGGGAAAGAACTCCCTGTTTCGACGTCAGAAAAACATCACATCTCTGGCCATGTAAACTTCAGTCTGGCTCCAGCCTCTATTTCTTCATTTGCTGTATGCGCATTTTGTACATAGCTGGATGAAGACAGAAATCCGAAGCCAGACTATATTCACCGCAGAGGTCAATGACCTCATTCAGTCAACGTGGTTTATCGCGCTTTCCCGTGAAAGTATCACGTGACCGCAATAGCTCCCTCTTTCTTGTCGGCCATTTCACCCAAGGTTTGGAGAGAAATCGTGCACGATTTTTACCCCGATTTTTATAAAAGATACCTCTAATTGAATTGTGAATTGTTGTCGAGAGAAACATACACGATAGTGCCTTTATTGATAAATCTAGTTATGATGCAAAAACATTGATCATTTTGCTGAGAAAATGCCCCTAGAAAATGATATAAGTTGTCGGCAATGTCGAAACCATGCGCACCATCCGCATGGAAGAATAAACGTGTGCATTGCTTTAATTGCGTGCTCAAAACCGTGCGCACTGTGTGCAGTGTTTTCATGCAGTCCCAATATTATAGGGCCTATAAAACCTCCCAAATGGGTATTATTTAATGAAGTAGGATTCTTTATTTTGTTAATAGAATGTAATATTAATCCACGATCAGCATTAAATTTTAACTTGGCCTAAAAAAAAGAAGTAATATTGGTCAATCACAATTCGGGCCTCACAATTCACATCAATTCAAAACCAAATCTCAAAATAGTTAAAATGAGCATGTTGAGAAATGAGATGTGGAAGGGGAGGGGACGTGGAAATTGGGGGGTGGGGTCAAGTCGTTGAATATAAGTTATTTTTTCGTTGAGTAAAAATTATATTTTTTATCAACAAGCAGTATTTTGTTCATCTTTCAACTGACATGACTGAGTCATGTTTTGTCAGTTTCTAACTTTTTATCCCACCTGGTAGCCGGCTAGGCAGATACGGGGTGCACTGGACACACTTGTGCTTGTCACTTAGACAAGTGTTGCATGTTGCTGCGTTTGGCAGGGTTTCTAGCCAGAGCACCCTGAAGGGTTGGGGTTAAACTTAAAGTCAAGTCAAAACTTTTAAAGATAACCATCTTGGAAGCCATATATGTAGGATGATGGTAAAGTATTGTGAGGATACTGCATTCATTCCAGAATGGGACCTGTATGTTCTGGACGCATTAAAATGAATATTTCCTTCTCATCATAAACATGCCTTCATGTTAAAGTATCATGAATAACAAGTAACATGATTGATCACCAACAAACTGGGTTTACTTTGACTTTTGAATTGTTGTTCTTTTCTCATCAGACGTCATCATGGTGAAGACAAACACTACCGGTTACCGCCGCGGTACGCGGTACATGTTCGCACGGGACTTCCGTAAGAAGGGTGTCGAGCCGCTGTCAACTTTCCTCCACGTCTACAAGAGAGGCGACTACGTGGACATCAAGGTGAACTAGGCTAACATCTTAAACAACGGTGACATTGGGAATACATGAGAAACTTTGATAATGCCTGCCAGCTGCCGATAGTCAAATTAGAAATGAAAAATCACTGACTACGTTCTGTATTATGAACAGTAGGTTGTAGTACCTTAATTTAAAAATTGGTCTAAATAACCCGTGGGGTTTCTTAACCTTAACCATGGTAAATGCAACAGAAAGCAACAAAGGTGCAAAGTTGTTGCATACTGTTGCATTAAGCAGGCAGCTCAAGTTCCCGTGCTCTGTTACATCTTGTTGCATTCAGCAGGGTAACTGCTCATAGTGCCAAGGCGATACAAGAGTATCCACTGTTGCAGTTTGTTGCATTAAGTATGGCAACTGCTTGGTGCCAAGGCTGGTATGCACTGGACAATGCAACAGAATCCACTGTTGCAGTTTGTTGCATTTAGCAGGGTTCTCATTTGAGTTGGATATTGTTGCATTTTATAGCAGGGTACCTGAAGAATACCCGATGGGGGTTAGGGCTCAAGAAGGCAAGACACACTTCTGGCTCAAACTTTTGAAGGGATGTAATTGCAGTTAATTGTCTTGCCCATGGACACCATCTCTGTATCACCTGAACACATTGGTCCGACAGTCTCTTATGCTATCCTTAATTAATGTTGTTGGAAAACTGATGAATATTTGTTTTTTTGCTCTTTTCTGTTGATCCTGATAGGGTTGTGGTGCCTTCCAGAAGGGCATGCCACACAAGAGCTACCACGGCCGAACGGGGCAAATCTTCAACGTCACGCAGCACGCTGTGGGAGTCATTGTCAACAAGCAGATCGGGTAAGTACAAAGAACAGGTGGTAATCAAATTCTCACAAGATGTTGGCCCGTAACCTGTTTTGCTTAGTAGAATAAATTAAGTGCTTAATGAATTGGCCTGTGCACAGACAGGTTCACCGCATTATCATTTGAGGTACCTGTTGTGCTAAATGAATAATGTGCTGAACAGATATCGTAATCTTGGCTACAATTGTATTTTTGAAATTTCTAGCAACCGCATCATCCCCAAGCGCATCAACGTCCGCATCCAGCACGTGCGGCCCTCCAAGTGCCGGGACGACTTCCTCAACCGCGTCAAGCGCAACGATGAGCTGAGGAAAGAGGCCAAGGAGAAGGGCATCACGCTGGAGAAGGGCTCCCTCAAGAGAATGGTTGGTGATGGTTTGCATTCAGTTCATGCAAATTGGTTGCGCATACTTCATGCCATACACAATGCAAAAATTACCCTTAATACGCATTTAACAAACACTACAGTTATTTTGTCCTAGTGTTTTTGAAAAGCTGTCATTATAACCTGAATTTGTTTCTTATGATATATTGATGTGATTTTTGTTGCCTTATTTTCTTCACTGCAGGCTGAGCAACCACGCACAGCCCACTTTGTGAAGACAAAGAACAACGAGCCACAGCTTGTAGAACCCATCCCGTACAAGTTCATTGCGTGAAGCACTTCTTAAAATCCATCGTATTAAAGAAGGCGGTTCAATTCAATGGCTGTTTTGTAAAGTCTAAAACTGGATGTTGTGAGGGTTATATGATGTAATAAAACTCGGAGGGTAAAAAGGTAGAAAAAAGTGTGTTGGAATTGTCCTTTTGTTTTGTGTATTTGCGTTTAATTACATGTAATATCCCGTTTCATAAATACTACGTGTCAAAAAACAATCCAACTTTTGATCCTAAATAACTCTGTTTGCCAATGGAATTAACCCAAAGTTTCAGATCATGTAAACCAGGCATGACAAATTTTATGGAGCGAGTGTCATCAGCTTTGTGCAAGAGGGTGAGATTGAAATGCCATGGGAAAAAAAATACTTTCAGAATCTGCCACTTTCAACTTGGCGTCCTCCAATGTCGACACTGCACTGGATACAGCAACCTTCTCGATTGTTTGGTGCAACACACAATTGAGGTGTGCAATGACGTCAGGGGTGATCCTGCATTCCTTCAGAAGCTTTCAGCTGCAGCACGCGCCCTCCATGACCTTCGTCAGCGCTGTATCAATATTCAGAAAGTGAGAATTGTTATCATATGGTGTTTTATCTTCCCCTCTTGCTCAAAGCTGATGAAACTTACTCCATAAAATTTGTCGTCCCTTATTTACATGATCTGGCATTTTGGTGTAATTATATATGGGAAACAACAGAGTTATTAAGGGTCAAAAGTAGTACAAGTTCCACAATAGACCTAAGACATAATGATGTCATGCTTTGTTTACATGTGCACTTTCGTATGGGAGCCAGGTGGGGACAATTAGTCATTTGCATGTCTGCTGAAATGGAATAAACCACACTTTAAATTGATTCACGTATATTTATTGGGGAAATGTACACAACAAAAACAACATGCAACTTTGGCTTATACAATGTACTGTAAAATTAATGGAGACTGTACATGTAGTTTTTAGTCTTCCCTTGAACCCTCGAGTAAAGCATGCCAAGTGCACAAGTCCCATTATTCAATGAAGACTAGCAACGTCTGACAAATAGCAATTTTAGTTTGAATTTGAGCATGAAAATTTGTTTCCTGTCCCATTATTATATCAATTCATTGACCAACAAGGCCTTCTATTGAAAATAAGTTAAAATGAAAACATTAAAGTAAAAAAAACCAAACACCAAATGGCTGCCTACTTCGATTCAAAAGTACCAGGAGTTCAGATGGAGGTTCTTTTTCTACCATTTTTTCACATTCATTTGCACGCGTTCGTGGATGTGTAACCCATTGCAAACAAAATGTGGACTAACTAAATTTGGTAAATTGGGGGCTGTATTTGAAAAAAACCAGTTTTTTTTCCAAAGATGGTCCGCCGACCATCGTTGGAAATTGATACAAAAATTTCACTTTTCTTGAAAATGTCAGCACACCTGGTGCCAAGATTTCACAGGATGTTTGAGACTAATATTCATTTACAGTCAAGGTATTTCATAATAATTTGGTAGTTTTGTTTTTCAATGTTTGTAATTCAGGGCACTGTTTTGCATAGGGTTGAAGGCTACTGGCTTTTCACAGGGGGAGGGTTGGGGTTAACAATGTTTTTATTCACCAATTTAACATTTCTTTAGTTCAGAATTGATATCAATCTAATGTCCTTCAGGCTGATACAAACATTACGTTGATCTCGAAGAAAAGGTTGTGGTCCCAACTTTGTGAATTTCACATCTCGTCCAGGTTAAACAACAACACACTGTATTCACATTTTTCTTACATGTCCCGTTAGAATAAGTCAACACAGACCCCACAGTATCCCACTGGAATGCCGACTTGTGCACATGGATTGAGGTCAGATCAACAGATCACAAATCAAGCAAACCACCTTTCGGAGACCATAAAAATGTGAGACTAATTACAGTTCAATATATTTTAAAGTAAATTGCATTGCTCTGGCATGTGCTCAGATATCATTTAAAATGGTATTATTGATCATAAACTACAAGGTACATAAGGCCTAAAAAATAACAGTTCTGCTTCCGGTTACCCTACCTACCCTATTTTGACAGCCCCTACCCTAATTTTTTTGGGAGAATGAGGAAAAATCCCTGAAAATCATCAATTACTACCTTTTACCCTTGACTACACGCAGACACCTACATATGGTCGAACACAAAAAAATTGCCCCCTTCCCAAATAATTTCCCTACCTACCTACCTTATTTTCAAATGCAATGTAATCGGAAGCAGAACTTCCTCTTTTTTTTTGGCCCGAGGACACTCCTTATCCCCAATATGGGGAGGCAAAAAAACACCCTTATTTCAAAAAATATTACCTGCAATGCTAATGTAAGGCCCCATCACCCAACTAAACATCGTGCAGGTGTTTCTTTTAAAAAATCCAACAAAAATTATCCCGGAATTATCTTCTCCATTCAAAATGAATACCAAAGAGCAAGTTTGATCAAGGACCAAAGCTAACCATAGTTCAAGTAATTCTGATCTGATGCACGCTAGTCGACAATGGTTGGACTAGTTTATGTCGTCTACCTCGGTTGGTCATTCCGCAATTTATAGCTGGTTATCAATAGCAATTTTTTATAGCATGAGGGTACTAATTATCAACAAAAATGGCAGAAAAAAAAAGAAAACTGTGAGTGCTAAATGTCATTTTCATAGCATATTTTTCCATATTAGTTAACAATTCTGTCACTTTTGTCACCATTGTACAATAATAATGGTGATTATGCAAGGTGTCCTAAAATTACACAATAAATATCACTGTGTAAATAAACACACATCCGTCAATTTCTCACAGTTGTCGACATGACAGTGCACACTGTCTGAAACGTCGAATTCCACACTGCACCAACCGGTTCTTTTCAGAACGACACTTCTTCCAAGAAGAGATTTCTTTCCACATGGTGTTACCCGCAATTTTGTCTTTTTTTATGTCATCTGCCATGCAAAGCTTTAAGTCATATACATGACAATAGTTCGATTTGAGTCGTTCACACTTCAAGTTTAGTGTGCATGCGCTAGCTACGTCACAAACCAACCACTAGTTGACCATTGGTCCTTGATCAAACTTGTCTCAAGAGTCTGAGAGTCTTTGAAGGGTCCTCTTAACTTTCTAGAATTGAAAATATGGCTCTCTCCGAAACGGGCATTGTTGTCTACGACTATGGCTAATTCACTGTAGTGTGCAAGTGGCAAAACCAAAGCCGCAGCAACAACACCTGATTTGGACATGGCTAGCCTATTGCAGATTTTCTAATGGTATCACCCTGTTTTTGTTACATTCCACTGTATGCCGGCCCCCCGCCAGCCTCGGGCACTACCCAGTTGATATTCTGGCTAGGGTCCTTGATGTCACAGGTCTTGCAATGGACGCAGTTGGCCGCGTTGATCTGTAGCCTCATGCCTTCACCCTCTTCTGTGGGGACGTACTCGTACACACCTAGCAAAAAAAATAATGAAAATAGCGCCAGGTTTAAGGCAGCAATGCATTCTACAGGATGAGTAAAAAAAAAACGGAAAACAAACCCCCAAAAATATATTTCATATTTACAAAAGTATGTAGCACCAAAAATGATAATGACTGGAAAGCCAATTTAATAAACCACATGTACTTTTAGATGAAAAAATTACTTCAATTGCTCAGTCCGTAAAAATTATATGACCATTTAAACGAAACAGTCCCTTAGATCTGTTTCATCCAAAAATGCGATTTCAAGAATCGTCGTTACAATTGTCTTCAAACATAACCAGCAATAAAACTCAGTTTAAAAGTTAAAAATATTCAACAAAGTCATTTTGAAGGCCCATCTTTAAAAAATAAAAGGTGGATTCTATAAATCCTATTGTTAGCCAAAAGAGGGTTGTTAGCCAAAAGTTGTTAGCAGGGTTGTTAGCCAAAGCAGTCTTTAGGCCTAGACATAATAGTCATTGGTAGAAAAGTTTTTGTGGGGCAAAATATTCCAAAACACAGCTGCATAAACGCTTGGAGACAATCAAACACCCTACCTGCAGGGCAGAACCTCCCTTCCGGCCCGTCGTATGTACCCAAGTTGCACTCAACGGGCACAGAATCGTTCATGAGTGTCAGATGTGCCGGCTGGTCACTCTCATGGTTGGTCCCGCTCAGGGCGACAGAGCTGAGCAGATCAAAACTGACCTCATTGTCTGGCTTGGGGTACTCGATGGGGGTACACTCAGAGGCTGGCTTCAGGGCCTCAGAGTCCCTTCCTGGTGGGCCGAGGAATGGGAAAGGAGATGACCAATCGAAGGGATTAACACAAGATCAGTGTTTAAAGATAGAGTTGACCATTCACAGCTATCCAGAAAGTAACTGATTAAACTATTGTTGAAAAGCTTACTTGGTTTAAAGATAGTAATGGCACTAAACTCCCTGTGACATTATTCTTTCTGGTATGCTGTCATTTTGAAGAAAACAGTAAAACAACGCCATTTCCAAAGATGCGTCAAGTGATGCATTTTTGGAAACTTCCGTTAGTAGTTGGTTTGTAATTGGGTTTGTGAATGGGTGCACACAAGTGATGATACCACGCACACGTGCGCGCAGTTGCTATTATTCATCGGTTCAGTGCGTGACATCCATAGCTGCAATGGCCTGAATGAAAACAATTCGCTGATGCAGATTCTGGGCGCAATTCAAATCATGACTCAGCAACTTGAAATTAAGGTCCTAGAATAATGTTTTCTCGGAATATACAGCATTCACTGAGCTACAACTTCATCAGGTTAGTTGTTAAGCATCCTTCTTAAGATTTTGAGCACTTTCGGTGCCTCGAACAAAAGAAACGCACGTGTGTCATGCTAACGCTTGCGCGCACTTCGCCTATTGGAAAAAACAAACTACTAACGGAAATTTCCAACGGTGCCTCTTAAGACGCACCGTTGGAAGGGCCTTCTTTCGTTGATTTCTTCAAAATGACAGCTTGCCAGAAAGAATAATTTCACAGGGCGTTTAGTCCCCTTACTATCTTTCAGCCAAGTATGTTTTTCAACAATAAATACGCCAGTTATTTTTTGGATAGCTGCAAATGATGGACTCTGGCTTCTATTAATCAGAGAAGAAAAGGCTGGCTCTTCAAACGAAGCTAAAAGACAACTTGAGCGTCTCTCGTACCTGGGTGTTTCAGCGTCCAAGGCTCCATGCCTCTGCCCAGGAAGTAGAAGAGACCCGTGTACATAATGGTGCCATAGATCCCCAAGGGGTTGTTGAAGGAGGGGCGGATGTTGCGCACTTGGTACAGCTCCTTCCACACCCAACTCTCCTTCAGTCTAGGCTCGTACTCTTCTACATATAAACCTGGAAGTTCGAGGGAAAAAAATCAACCATGATGATGTGAAGGAGTTCTTTCTATATTATATGCCATTCAACTTGACTGGCTGAGGAAATGTTGAATTTGATGGAGGTCTTTTGCACTGGAGAAATGAAAATTTTAATATTGGGTTCCGCCCTTTAACTTTGCAAGCACTAAATACCCAGTGCTGTTTGACAGCATGTGAGAAGTCACATACTTGCTCCCGTAGGGTCTGAAGTAGTGTTGTGCAACCCAACCCGAAACCGAAACCGACCTGACCCGAAACCGACTTTGGTAGGTCACCAAACCACCAGTAGGTCACGTTGTGAGTCCTGTACACCGTGTACGGTATGATTCAGTTACAGAGAGACGATTAGCAAGTTTAGGCAAAAAAGTGGACACAGTTGCCCAAGCCAGATATTCGGTTTTTCTGGGGTCGGTTCCGTTTCGGGTCGGTTTGGTTTTCCTTGAATTTTCGTTGGGTCGGGTCGGGTCGGTTTGAGGGAGTTCAGATCGGTTTGGGTTTGGATTCGGTTTATATCTATACTGTTTCGGGTCGGTTTGGCCTGGTCAACCCAACCCAATGCACAACACTAGTCTGAAGCTCATGACCTTTCAAACGCTTGTACAGATATCTTAAATGTGCGATATTGAGCTTCCTGGGGTTAGCTGGTCAATTTGAATTGAATATTGTTCTACAGTCAGTGACTTTGGATGGACTTTTGTGTCAAGGGGATGTAAAGTTTGATAATAGGTTTCACTTAGGCATAACTTGTGGAGTGCTCAAATCAACCACATCTTCAATTACATCATGCATGTCTGTGAGCATCAATGACGACTCTTTGGTGGAGATTTAACCAGAACATCTTTATTTTTGGCTGTGAATCTCTCAATCTTACAAATTCCTCTAGAACCTACCGCTGCACTTGAAAGTATTTTGAAAGCTACAACGGTTATAGAGAGCTTACCTTGTGTTTCGGAGGTGGGGTTTTCCTGAGTGAGTTTATCGAATAAGGCCTCAGCAGCCACCGTTCCACTCTTCACTGCATTGTGGGATCCTTTCACTTTGGCTACATTCATAAAGCCAGGACTGCAGCCGATCAGCATACCGCCGGGGAAGGCCAGCTTGGGAAGAGACTGTAGAATAACAAAATGATTGGGATGACTTGTTATCTGAGGCAAGTTTGTTTGGTCTAGGATATTATTTTATGTTAGGTTTTGCCCTTCATTAGCGTATTTATAAACACTGTGTACTCAGAGTTGTCCGAGGGCTTTTAAGGAAGAAATAACCAGCTTACTTAGGTGGAACTCGAAACCAAGACGTCCTGCTTAAAACTAGAAAGTGTTTTTGCAAACCAAACCTCCATGTCTGTATCATCTTCTTTATGCAGAATTTTCCTTTTGCAGTACGCACCTCGGCATAAAACCTTCAGAGAAACTTGTCCAGCTCACCAGAAGAAGATTGCTCAACCTCAGAAAAGGTTCAGTTCTTTTGCAATACTGTAACTCGTAAGAGTTTCTACCGCATTGTGGACAACTTTTTTTTAGTAGAGGAGGCATCTTTATTATCCGCAATATTCTTCAGTTTGGCATCATCGAGCTCCGGAAAAAGCTGCTTAACATTTACGTATGCCGCCATCTTTTCATGTGTAGCTGGGACGATGCTCACGCGTGTGTACTACACCCGTGCGATAGTTGCACGATTGCTTCGAAAAGCGCATGCATAGTATTTACCCTGTGCGTGAATGTACTCACGTGCGCGCTTGGTAAACAGCACAACTGGCGGCTGGCACGTGATAGTGAATGGACCAGTGAGAATTGGGCTCTCGATCATGAATATGTATGAGGTATAGTAAAACTTAATAACGGTTGGAAGTTAGTAACTGTGTAATATGTCCAGGAGTTAACTAGCTTTACTTCCCGGACCCGTGTAAGCATTGACCAATGACAGGGGTGCATTTGGCTCATGAATATGCATGAACTGACCTGTAAGCCGCCTTCGTTGAGCGCCCTCGCGCCGTACGCGATCCTCTTCCCGCCTTCAAACATCGGCCTAATGGACGGATGCTGTTTGAATTTCTGGAACTCTTTGAAGGGGCTGATGTAGGGATTGGAGTAGTCCAGACCTAGGACATACCCGACGGATACTAGTGGGGCGCCCTCGTCCAGATGATAGCAGAAAGAGCCGCCATACAAATCTTTGTGCTGCAAGATAAAAAAAAAAGAAAACCAAAAAGTAAATTGGATGAAGCAGTAACTTTGCTGCACTCTACAGCATGCATTAGGGACTATGTCAATTATTTAAAAGGTTTGGATGTGGTCCAATGGTTACGTGTTTGACTTGTGTGCCGTGGTACATGGGTTCGAACCCTGACAGGGAGCATGGTGCTTGTGCTCTTGGGCAAGGCACTTTACTGCGATTGCCTCTCTCCAACCAGGAGTATAAATGGGTACCTGTGAAGGCTGAGACCAAATTGCACTTATCTCGAGCTGCTGCAGAAAAATGGTCTCATTCCTGATGAACAGGGATAATAATTGTGATGCGCATTTGATCATATTCATATGGAATTTGCGCAATGCATAAATTATTTTTATTATAATTATCAGTAACATAATTTCTTGTCTTTCGCTACAGATACGATGTCATAGCAAACATAGCCAAGCTCTTGCTACATAAATCAAAACAGTTTTCAGCTTTGGCTACCCAGACAGGTCTACATATTATGCCTGCTGCCCCCTTGTGACAGAAACTCACCAGTGGCCATCCGACAGTGTGTTCAACTAATCCTGGGTGATGTTTACTGGGTTCAACCTCCCACAACTACAAATCAAAGAAAAAAAAAATCAAATACATGAAACATTTTAACTCTAAAAAGTAAACGAAAACTGCAAGTTTGTTGAAAAATTTGCTTCAGAATTCTGAAGGCATCTTCTACACCTAAAATAAGTGACACAGTGAACACATTTGTGGGTGTTTGAAGAATCAAACTACCTTTCCAATTTTGTAATGTCATAATGTAACTCGCTATTACCTGGATACTGAAAAGAGAAGCACTATGCTTAACAATTCCTGACTGCTGTGATGTGGGCCATGGCACTATGAACACCCGAGGAGTACATGATTCAAAGCCATAATATACCAACGATGTATGTACTTGCCTCTTTCAGTCCAATGCCGTAGGTCTGGGGCTGACAGTCTTTCCTGAGATCAAACTTCTTGAAGAGTTGTTTAGCCAGGTGGCCGTGGCAACCCTCGGCAAAGATGGTACACTTGGCATGGAGCTCCATGCCTCGCTCAAACGTCGCCTGAAATCAAAGAAAGGTCACATTCATTGGTATTAAATCATATGTTAGTAAGCATGTCATCCGACAACTTCTGCAAACACAGACTCATGCTTACATTTGTACAAATTTTGTTCAGACATTGATGCTGGTTTAAAGATAATAATGGCAGTGAACTACCTGTTGATGTTATCCTTTCTAGCGTGCTATCATTTTGAAGAAAACAATGAAAGAAGGCCATTTCCCAAGATGCGTCAAGTGACACATTTCGGGAAATTTCCAGTAGTTGGTTTGTAATTCGGCAAATCCCTGAATGGGTTCACGCAAGCACTGTCACGACCGTATGCGCGTGGTTTCTATTTTTTGTCGGTTCAGAGTGTCATCGCGTAGCTGCAATCGGCTGAATGAGAACATGTTCTGGATGCTGATTTCCGGTGCAATTCAAAACATATAAACTCTGCAAGTTTGAATTGAAATCAAGATCCTAGAATATTGATTTCTCAAAATATAGGGCCTACAGCATTCACTTAGCTGAAATTTCATCAGGTTAGTTGTTAAGCACCCGTCTTTAGATTTTGAGCACTTTTGTCGCTTCAAATGACAATGACTCATGTCGTTAGAGAAAATTCAGGCTACAAATGTATCAAATTTTTGAAAAAAACCCCAATGGATTGTTACAAAATGTCTGAATAGTTAATTCCATCATACCTTTGGTGAGCCATCCTTGGCAATGCCAACGTCTGAGGTTGCGATGCCTTTGACGCTACCATCTTCATGATATAGAATCTCACTGGCTGGGTAGCCTGGGTAAATCTCCACTCCTAGCTCCTCGGCATGCTCACCTAACCAGCGTACCACGTTACCCAACCGCACAATGTAGTTACCGTGATTATACATGGGTAGACCTAAAATAAAGAAAGGTAAGAAAATATTATGACTAAATATGAAACAGCTATCTTATACCAAACAATGCTATACCAAACATTCGGCTATACCTCATAAATATTCATGATCAAATTGGAGCATGTCATTGGCCGATTCCCAATTGGCTCCAAATTTTTGTGTACAAACTACAAAACGTACCGAACATGCGAGCATGAAAGTTCGTTTCCTAACACTGTTGTGGAAAAATGCCAACAGAAGAGCGACAAGAGGCTATTGTTTCCCCAAGGAATAGAAGGAGAAAGCCACCCATTGCTGTAGGTAGTAAGCTCAAAACTGTGTAATTACATAAAGCAATAGTCGCCACGTGTTCAAAGTCATCTTTCAGTAACAACCAGGGCGTGCAGGGTTAAATTCTGAAGGGCGCTACTTATTGAAAAGCAAGTACCGGAGCACTGGCAGCTTAAAGACGCTATACTGAACGATCAAAATATTACGAACTATTTCTGTGGATCCCGCGATGTTCGTTATAGCGGCATTCCACTGTATACACCTGTTATGCAGTTAGCAGTAATTTAAAGCTACAAATGAAAGCTGCATCAATATTTACCCTTAAAAATTGGAATGGGAATGCGTCTCTTCTCTGTCAGGAAAGCAAATTTGTCCTTTGTGACGGGCGTATGGAAGGGCAAGCCTTTCTCCTTCCAGTCCGGTATAAGTTCCTCAAAGGCTCTGGGTTCTACACACGCACCCGAGAGCGTGTGACCACCTGCAAAACAGGACCAAATAAAATGGTTGGTCGAACAAAGGACAATGACAGAAGTGGGATTCCAACTTGGAACTTCGGGAATCTTGCACCGGTGTTCTACTCACTAAGCTTTCTATTTGTTCCACAAATCAATAACAAGTCAATCAAGCCAAATTACAACTCAGGTCACAGGCCCAGACCAAAGAACAGGGATGTAGTTCAGTTCATCACAAGTCCAGTCACAAGTGAATCTCAAGTCCGTTCACAAGTGTAGTCATAAGAAAGAGTGGATGAACAATAACAAAGTAATGCCTACATAGTTTCGAATATTGAATACTAAATTATTTCGAAAATGAACAGCCGTACTGGACGACTTGTGATTTGCTACCGATGACTTGTGATTTGCTACCGATGACTTGTGATAACGTGTGAGGATATAACTGACAATTCGTGTTAATTACAAGAATCAACTCCTGCAGAAGAAAACAGCGTGATACTCTGACTCACCAATCTCAGAAGCCTTCTCTACCAGGCACACCCTGAGGTCCGTTCCCTTCTCATTGCTCAGCTGTTTCAGTTTGATGGCGGCAGCCATACCGGCAGGCCCGCCTCCCACGATCACTACGTCCACCTCGTCTGCGTAACGTTCCATCTCCACATCTAATAGCAAAAGAAAGTTAACATCCATAACCACCTTCACACACTTATCAACACTGAGAGTACAATTCATTTTTATTGGCAGCGAGTGAGAAGTATATTATTTTGAATACAGATTAGAATCTTGAGTCAATTTTAAGTGGGTCATCTTCACTAAAATGTATTAAACATGAAGACACTATACAGTTGTTAATGTACTGAAAATTTGGAAATTCTGCTTTCCTCGTCCCATTTTTAAACTTCAACACCCATACCTTTCCATCTTTCGTCCTTTTCTCGGGGGATAACTGTGTAATGTGTTGTGATTTTTGGCGTTGATGTTGTGGAGTACAAGCTCTTTGAAGTTCTTGCCAAACGACAAGCTGCAATTAAAAAGCATAAAAAAAAATGTAAAAAAATAGTATCTTTTAAAAAGATTTGAAGAGGAAATAAAGAAAAAAAGTTATTATCATACTTACACTATTAATAGTGTAACTAAGTATGATGCTAACTTTTTTTTCTTTATTTCCTCTTCAAATCTCTTTAAAAGATAACTGAAAAGACATGATCCACATTAGTTTGAAGAATGTCAGGAAACATTTTAATAAAAAAATGTCCTATTTACTTTGAAGGAATATTAATATGAGCAGGTTTATGTAGCTTAATCCTTTGAAGTAAATTTAAATAAAATTTAGAACTATTAATATAATACAATTAAAAAAATCATCCTTCCTGATGAAACCTGTCAATCATGTCGAAAATAAAAAAATAAAACAAAATAAAACTTTTAATACTAACTTGGTCCATAGAGCAAGGTCCTAGGCCTAGGCTTGGTCCTAGGCCTAGGTCTACTTATTTTACCAGCAAAAATAAAACAGAAAACGATAAAATAAAAAGATGAAAAAAATCCCCCCAAAAATAATAAAGAAACATGACAAAATATAAACTAAATTAACATCATAACCTCCCCTTTATAACAAGGGCAAATTTATTTTACTGTGTAGGTTGTCATTAATATTTTGACAAACTGGTCCATCCCTCATCTATTGTGAATTCGTGGTTGTTTACGCTACACAGAGCTTACGCAACACGCCCGCTGCCGGCGGTGGCCGGCCGGCCGTGATATGATTATGATATCACTGAATCGTCAGAAAAGTAACGATCCAAAGTAACTTGGCCTAATAACACTTAATCATGTAAAATACAAATCACAAAAGCGCCAAAAAGCAGACAATTGTAATACTATTTCAGCTTTTCTTTTTTAAAACAAAATGTAAGGGTTAAAACATCGACAAATTTAGGGTTTTTTTGCTTACCGACACGACACAAGTGCGACGAGGACAGCGCCATTTTGATGGTTATGTCATGTTTATTGGCAAAGCTTCGCCGCATGAGGGCGCGCTCATGTTATGATGGAGATGATAAATTTTGCGGAAGGCTGATCATTTCTGCGTACAAAACTACATGTATTTCGATTTCTGCCATCTCAAAGCATAAACAGAACAAAAATGGCTTTTCATATACACAAGGGGAACAGGGCAAGTCCATTCCGGAAAGAAAAAGAGCGTATTTCGAGAAGGTTTCAGATGAATCTCGAGGCGATTATTGCGAAGGTACACGAGTGAATACTTCATGCGTTTATTTCCGACAGTCACACACAGGCAGATATAGGATCAGCTGGTCAGACATTTGAATATAATGTGTGATTTGTAATAGACTTTAAAATGTGTGAATCTCTTGAGCTGTTAATTGTTGGGGTTGGGCAAGAATGTAAGGAAAGAATGATGCAACCTGACGCCGCTTCAGCGGTTGTGTACAAAGTCTATGGAGAGTCCAGAAAATTTTCTAAGTATTTCCTAACAAACTTGAAAATGTTTGTTTCAGTCCCAGATTCATGTCTTGGAAAGAATTCCATTCTGGGCCACCACTCGTATTCCTTAATATGACCTGAAACGTAGCAAAAGTTGTAAATAGTCTGATGACGAAACACTATTTAACTTTTAAGGAGTGCAAAAATTCTTTAAATACTTTAACTTTTTCAGCCATGGCCCATAGACTTTGTGCAGGAGGTTTGAGTTGGTGGACCAGTATGGAATTCTTTCCAAAGTTTGTTTTGTGACAAAATTTATATATCTGTCATGTCCGACTCGTTTCAGTTATGATGTCAAACAAAATTTATCTTCAAAATATTGACCACATTGATAGGTTGGTAATAAAAGGCTGGTTGGATGCAGTGCAGTTTTATTTCAGTGGAATTGATCCTATTTGGGAGGGCTGAAGACATTGGCACAAGTTGGTGTGATGTTTCCCCCGGGATGATACTATATGATACAGATACAGATGTTTAAAGCAGTAACTCACTGTCCTGTGTTGTATTGCATGTTCAGTGCTTTTCACTAATTTTCTCATCTCACATTTGATTTGTCATTGCAGTACGATCGTCCTTTCAGTGGCAGTGATGTCGTTGACCTGAACGACATGACAATAGTAGAGGACCAGGGTGAGGGATATTATTTAAAAAAAAAATAAAAAAAAAAAAGGGGGAGGGAAAATTATACCTTAATCCTAAAAAAATGATTGAAGAAGTCCACAAGGTGACCAGTGGCAGTGCTGTGTTAAAAATAACACAGTAAACTAGGCATTGAATTAGCAAATGGATGATGACCACTAGTATTTCAGTAAGAATCTAAGATTCTGAAATCGCAAATAGACAGCTATTTTCTCCCCTATGCTTTTTGAACATCTGGAGAAGAAAAATTCATAGGAACTCAACCATCACAATATTTATATCTGATGTCTGAGATAGTTTCCTGTATGTAAATGTCTGCATGAAGGACTAATGGTAGTAATAATAGTCTTGTTTCTCTTGCAGGTTTCATAGGAAGTATGAAACCTCAGAAGATCGGCACCGTCAGACTGGCTGTGGACAAAGCCTCCTCACATTCTTGCCCAGGTATGTACATAACCAAGTCTTGTACACAAATCTTTAACCCCGACCTTCCCAAATTGATAATATATTTGTCTTGACTATATATATTATCGCCTCACCACTTTCTCAAGCCTTATGGCCTTACTGAGGTCACCTCAAGCTTCACTCTGAAGGATATTTTTGAAAGTTTTAAGGGGATCGAAGAGTCATCTGCAACAACAGCCGACATTTGAAGAAAAAAAGTTGGGGGGGGGGGGGGGGAACCCCGCGTCGCCTCACCACTTTTGGGGCAAGCTCCATACCAGAAACCGGAGACTTTTTTTTTTGCCTAAATGTTCTGAACAGTATTTTGGTGATGAGCAGCTCAACAGAATTAGAACTTGGTCTATTTCATTATTCATGTGATTAGGGGAAAACTTTACTTGGCAAACAAATTATTGAATACCAGTTTTCTGAGTGGAATTACCCGTCACTTTGAAGTACCTCTGTCTAGACCTAGGGTTGTGATTTTCACAACCATCAGAAAGTTTGCAAATCAGAAATGTTTGAAATTGTAAATCTCGCTTGCTTATTCAATAAAAATCACATTTGTTTTGTATTGCATCGTATAGGCACTAAATGGAATTCCACCAAGGATAGCACAGACTCTGCCTTTGGCAGCACTCGATATAGCGAGAGTGAAGACACGTCTGGAACTGAGACTATTGCTAACTACAGTTTTCAGGTAAGGGAGGCTATCCAGCAACTCGGCCTATCTTGAAGTTTAAGTCCTGTTGAATTTGATATTTACTAAAATTCAATCGCAACAATTCAAATCATTCTTACACACCACTGCATGTTTTTTTTTTGGGTGCAGGCTACAAGGCTTGCAGGTAAAAAGGAGGCAGAGAAAGCGGACTTGAGACTTGAAGGTTAGTCTAACTGGCTTTTCATCAGATCACCATTTCGTTTGCGAAGATGTAAATTGTTATAGTGGGTTTTTATATGTGGAAAAAGCCAATATGAAAAAACCTGACTGATTCTTTCTCCTTGCAAATGGCTTACAAACAATTGTTAACTATCCTTCCACAGATATTTGGACGAGAAGTGGCTCTCATTCAGAAGATTCAGGCAACGAGGATGTGGAATCCGACCACAGTGGCCCCATCCGTACCCCATCCAAGTCTTCACACCACTCTCCGTCTTATCAGCGAAGGAAGCCAGAGGCCGTGAGGGGCTCCGTGCCTCTTGCTACCCGTCGGAGCTCTCGGGGAAACCTGTCGAGGAGATTTGATGCCGAGGAGGGAACTGAACTCAAAGGACAGACGAGCCGAGTGCTGCCACTCGATGATGAGGACGAGGAGGAATCTGAGGAAGAGGACAACGACCCGTACGAGTTCAGGGAGGAGGAACTGCCCTCCATCTTGGAGGAGAAGAACCGGTTCCTGTCCAAGATGCAGTCCATCCTGGTCGAGAGCTTCATCGATGGTGACGACATCGATGAGATGGAGTCACAGACCGACGATGACGAGGCAAGCACGGGAACGGTGGAAAGCAGCGAGGCGACGGGTGGCTCAATCTCGGCCTGGTCCACGCTGCCTCCCAAGACGCCACCAAAGAGAACCTCCAAGCCCCTGAGGAGGAGTGAGGATTTGAATTTGGACAATGCGAGGTATGAGATCCCTGCGTTGGATACTAAGGGGAGACGTCGTAACTGGAGACCTGCTGAGAGATGTGCCCTGTCTAGCACCGACTCAGATCTCACAGAATGCAGCACCATCCTTGCTGGCAATCTGCACAGTGATCGGGTTTTCTTCCGTTCGTCACACCTACTCCAAAGAGCAAACAAAGACTGTGTCAGGAATCAGCCTTCCCAACCTCCTTTCCAAGCCATTTGTAACAGCACCATGCTGAGTGAAATCAACTCCTCAGAGGAGGTAGTGCCCGAAGAAAAACCTCAGCGATCAAGTTTAAAGCTACCACTTAGAGGTTTAGAGCTCCCACTGGGTGGGCAAGAAGGAGAGATGTGCTTGGGTGAAGTATCTTTGAATCATCCATCAGATGTGAAACCTCACATGTTGGATGAACAAGTGAACAGAACACCAAAGAGAGGTAAAAACAGTAAACCCATCAACTCTGCAAGATCCTTGTTACCCACAAACTCCAGGGAAGTCAACAAGGGAGATGAGAGTACCTCAGACAGGGATATGGGTCAGACAATCTTTCGCACACCCTCAACGAGAAATCGCAGCAAGGAGGATGGTATTATGACCCCTGGATATCAAGACACATCTGGTATCACGCCTCGAGCAAAGTTAAGGAAAGGCCCCAAGAGGCAAAGCCCAATCAGCTTGTCCTCGCCCCGCTTTGACACCAAAGAAATCATGGAGATATTCCAATCCCCCAAACCGTTGATCATACCCGGTGTGGACTTGAAGGATCTGGATCTGACGCCCCGTTGCAGGGTGAAGCAAGAAGGCGCTCCCACTCCGACCCGATTACTGAAGGATGCCCTCCGGAATCTACAGAGCCCCAAGGCCAGAGTGAGAATAGACGGAAGCTGTGGACTCGGAAGCCAAACAGCCAAGGAGATCAGACCACGCAGTCACGGTTCAGCTGATGAAACTGCTCTGGGATGCACGAATCTTAATTCCACAACTTTGACAATTGAAAGGAGTGATGCCGACTTGATGGTTGAGAGAGGTGTTCAATTGGACAGTAGCCCGGCAAGAGAAATTGACAACAACGAGAGTTTTGAAGGTGTCAACACGATTTCCCCAGAGGTTCGTAGTGAGAGAAGGCGCAGTACTCGTTTGAAAGGAGACAGTCCAATCATATCAGAATTACCAAAAAAAGTCCAGAGGATTCCAACGCCGACCCGTGCAAGTCCTGTAGTCGGCCACAGAAGCAAGTCAAAGACAGTCAAACCTGATGACCATATGCATCATTGCAGATCTAATCACACTGACATAGGTGCCTCGCTTCCTGAAAGCAGACAGACCAGAGCCAGTCCCCGGTCTCAACAAAGAGAACCCCGAGACCCCACCAAGAAACAATCAAGTAGTGCCAGGCTGCAGGATCCGATCAAGATGCACAGGCCTTCAAGACATACCAGAGATAGCGATGGCAGTGATTCAGATCCACAGGTTTTGCCAGCATCCAGAGAGTCAGCCCCAAGGAGAAATGAGCCCACAGTTGAGAAATCACTGCAGCAAGCCAAACCAGCAAGATACTCATCAAGAGCAGATATTACACGAGACTCGCAGAAGGAAACACGGACAACTCCTGTGTCATCAAAAACACCGTCCATGTCTAGGAGGGTCGAGAATGGCCCTGTGACCCCAACAACTCGAGGTATACCTTCCACACTATCTTCCCCCTTAAATCACATGTCTTTAGCAACACCTCACAAATTCATCTGCCAGAAGAAAGATAAACTTTCCACGGACTCTGTAACCAGACTAAGTGACCAGAAGAAAGACAGGGTTGAAGCAGTGAAACAAGCAAAGGCAAAACTTCTGGCAGAAAACCTGAGATCAAAGAGCAGAAAAAGTAGTAAGGTAAAACTGGATGCCACACATATGACAATCTGGCAATCAGATGACGATTCTGAAGAGGAAATGGATGTTGATCCTTATTCGCTGACGGCTGATGATTCGTCACCGGGCCCGAGACTGTACCACCAAAGACCACAGCTCGATCCTGTAAAAAGGTCCAACGCCAAATCAATATCTCAAGAGGGTAGGCATCATGACAGGGTCACACGCAATAAAGAATCCGGAATGCTCAGGTATTCCAAAGGGGATCGCCAGTCCACACAGAGTAAAGACCCGATCGCAGACGGTAAGAAATCTGGCAGAAAGAATATCAGAGAGACCAAGTCCTCCACTGTAAACAATGAAGAGGTCCCGTTGACTGGATCATCAAGAAACTCACACAATCCCAGAGACTCTGAGAATCCTGTTGATTCAAGAAAAGCTGATGCTTCTGCCAGGAGCATCAAGGGTCCTAGCATCAGCAAGAAGGAACAGAAAAAGGTGAGCTCCTTCCACAGATCAAACCCGCTTAGCCCACCACCGTCGCCAATCTACCAGTCTGAAGATTCCCCAAGGCCTTCCAGACATGACCAACCCAAGAAAGCACCCACGTCATTGTCAAAGACGGCAGCGAGGCGAGAACACTCGCAGTACTTCTCCGACGAAGAGGGCAACTCCTCTGGGGATTCAGCCAAGTTTATCTCATCAAAACCCAACCAGAGTGAGCTCAGGATTAGAACTGATCCCGGTAGGCAGTCTGAGGCAGGCGTGAGATCCAAAGACAGGAAGCTGTACCGCACGGACGAGGGAAGCAGATCCAAACACAGGACCACGTTCAAGTGCGGCCAGATTATCACCACCCCAATGAAAGGTTTCAAGACCGCCTCGCCCGACTTGCACAAAACCCGCTCACCGTCGCGCAAAGGACGCGTGGAGAAGACTCGCAAGCTGTATCCCACGTCACCTGTCAAAACATACCGTAAAACTGAAATGCAGACGGACCGCAGTTCCGCCAAGAACTCCAGCAAGTCAATCCATGGAAGGACACAAAATCTTAAAACCAGCATGAGGACACTGATGGCATCACCGTCACGTCGCCATGGCGATGTGAGAGCCATGGAAACCAGCAGGCCAGACATGTCCAGCCCACTGAGAGCTAGCGGTTGTAACGTCAGCTCGTCGTACGTGTGTGAGGGACCAGGACACTGTACGAAACCGTTCTGTTTTAACTGTGCACTAAGTGAAGTCAGTTGATCAAAACATGCCATCCATGCAGACAAGATCATGTACATGGTGAGTCAAAAAACGACACCCAAATGTCGGTGCAATTGTTTGAGTGAAGTTCTGCATGTAGCACTTTCAAAATCTAGGATATGAAAGCCCAATTCATAAGCTTTCTTTTAGTACAAGAATCATTTAAATTACTCATGTAATTGTCAAGTTACGAAATTTTAAACACAACCACCGTTTTAAAGTTCTGTCCACAGATCACAAAAAAAGTGTTCTTTAAGCTTAACGAAAACAAATCACATAGGGATGTGTGAATTGTTTTCGTTTTGCTGTAAGAATGCTCACCTTTTTTTTGTGATCCGTGGACAGAACCTTAAAACGGTGGTTGTGTTTAAAATTCCGTAACTTGAAAAGTACATGAGTGATTTGAGTGATTCTTGTACTAAAAGCAAGCATATGAATTGGGCTTTCATATCCTAGATTTTGAAAGTGCTACATGCAAAAATTCACTAAAACAATGGTCCCCACATTTGGGTTTCGTTTTTTTTTTTTTACTCACCCTGTAAATAGCAGCTGCAAGCGCGTGTGCGTTGTGTCAATGCTTGCTTCCATTCACGGATTCGCCCAATTATTAATTTCCAAAAATGTGTCACTTGACACATCTTTGGAAATGATCTTTTTTTAAAAATGACAGCATACCAGAAGGAATAATTTCACAGGGAGTTTAGTGTCATTGCTATCTATAAACCAAGCAAGCTTTTTAACAATAATTTGGTCGGTTACTTTTTGGATAGCTGCAAATGGTCCAATCTACTAATAAACTTAGGGTCAATAATAATTCGTCAAACTATTCATGTAAAATCTGAACTGTAGTTTAAATTATTGATTTATGTATTCTTATTGATTTCTTGTGCAGTAATCTTAAACTGTTTTAGTGTTTGATAATTTCTAATAAAGTACTTAAAATTTCGGACATTTTCCTATTTTAAATATCACTTTCGCCCATATGCACAGAAAATATTGCAAAAGATTGTGGATTGCAGAAAAGCTCCCCATAACCTGCGTATAAAAATGTACAGTAATATTTTGTAGTTTTTTTTCTGGAAGAATTTTGTACTTTTTAATTATATGTGCAGCAGTACTGTATGTGATTTTAAAATCTATTTGTGTAAATTTCATTTATTAAAATGGTTGACTTTAATTTGGTTTTTCTGAATTTATCATTTTGATGTTTAGAACGTCTGAAATACAGAAACATGGAGTATAGTACATTTCATTTGTTCCGAAAGACATTCTTTATTACACGAAGATGACAGATATGCATTGGATAAAATCAAGTTATTTTAGTAATTGTAATATTTTTAAAGAAGGAGTTTTACATGCCATACGAGCTCTGTTTTTAACTGCTAAACTAGCCCCCGTTTTAGCCACACAAGAACTAAATTTAGAATGCTTAGGTGGTATGTGGCCAAGAGAAATAACTGGAAGAATCATAGGGTAGTTTATTAATGGTTCATACTTGAAGCACCTTTCAGTGCATGGGTTGGAGAAAAGAGTATACATGTACTAGAGAGCTGAAGGCTTCTGACCAGTAAAAAGACTGCCAAAGACCTCAGTGGTAATTACGTGCACTTGTTATTAAAAATACCCACAACTCTCCTAGGTGTTTGAGACACGCATCAAATTAAAGCTTATTTCATAATCTTTCATTTTCCATTCAATTTTTTGATGTTTACCAATGACTTTGGGGAGAAAATCCCATCCAAAGATGATCACCCCTAAAAGCAGTCCTGAAGCTCATCGCCATTTTGAAAACGGAAGCCTACGCTCCATTGCAAAATAGAGCCATTTTAGGGCCTAATTTCATCCAAATTTCATAGAAATACGAGCTTGCAGTCCTCAGCACGGCTTCTACCCTTCTGTTTTACAAATCCTCAAGTTCACAGCCCTCAAAATGCTCTAATACCGGAGAAATTGAGGGCAAGCAAATCCTGATTTGGCCGGTGTAGGCAATTTTGGACCTATTTACAGGTCTGCACCCTGAAATGTGCAGAAACCACTGAAGATTCTAGAACACATCTTATTGAGGGAGGGGCGAAGCAATGCACACAATTAAGGGGTGGGAAATATCTTAAGCTCTGAATCCAAAACTACATCAATGTAAAACACTACCAGTAAAAATATTCCAAAGAAAGACAAACAGCTTCTAAAGCACATGCAATTAAAGGAGAAATTGCATGCAATTACTCCAATATATTTTAAACCTTCACTACTAAGTTGCACCATAAATTTCCATACAAAAATTTCAACTACCTATTAAAGTTAATTATTTTACACACATTATCATGAACAAATGCTGATGAAAACAAAGTGTTGAACTGATATTTATAAACAAAAAAAATCTTTTTTAAAGGAAACGGTGCGCCAAAATATCACAACTGGACTTTTGGGTCGAAATTCTCATAACCTACCTGAGCCATCTTACAGGGCAATCCATTTGTAAGTCCTAAGCTGGCAGACATAAATCTTTTGCGTTCATATTTCCATAAACTTCAAATGATAAAGCTGTCCGAGACGGCTGTAAGCACAAGGTTCTATTCTGATTCACAGATGAATGTCCATAGCTGTAGCAAAAAAAAAATGCCTGTTTTGGATAGAGGCTAAGGCTACATGTAGGTCAACCCCACCCAAGGTAGAGAATTGACGGGAATGTCTGCCGCCCTCCAGAGATAGAATGTCATCCAATGCATCAGTCCCAATGTGCCACTGAACAATATAATCAACACTGTACAAAAAGATTCAAGTTCAGCGATTGTTGATTGGAGAATGTACACATTATTTACAATATCTTGAGTAACACACGTTTAGTACTCGCAGTTCTGATACACATTATGTACAAGAAATTTGTTGATATTTTCTAAATCCAATGAATTCTGTTTAACAACAACATTTTTAATAATGATTATAGGTTTATTTTGTGAAATCATTTCAGTTCGGGGGTTGGTTATCCGAGAACGACCTGTATTTGAACTGGTCTAACAAAAACTACTTCTTAGATCACCTACATTGTTTTCAACAAATTTCTTTTCAAACTGGGATTTTTTTTATTTGTTGTAATTTAAATTTATAGGTTTTACTGTGCTATTTACACATAGTTTAATTAAACTACAGACCAAAGATACCTTACACAAATGTAATGTTTACATTCAATCAGGAAAGCAAAAATGTCAACAATACATTTCCCGAGTTTGAAGATCAAACTCTGAATATCCACGAAAGCATTTAAACTTTTAAGTAGAAGTGGGGACTGTGCTATTTTCTCTTTCTTCCTAACTTAACTACGTAACATTAAAAACCTAGATTAACGTTAATATTCCTCATCATTCAAGGTGCGTTTATCTACGGGAATCACTCTCAATGGCTAAATTCACCTGAGCTCCTGTAAAAAGAAAAAAAAAACCAGAAAGAGTAAAAGAAAATCATCATCATTTGAATCTGGATTCTCGTCAAACTGGTGGGACACTTGAACTGGGTTTTCACATGCGTTCTGCTCACCTCAATTGTTAAGTTCACAAAATGAGTTGTAGATATGGCTTAACCCTCCTGCTGTCTGAACAGGCACAGACAGTCAAAACACAAATCAATCCGCTTCCCTGCCATGCCTTTTACACAGGCTAGTCAACAACTCGTGGAGCAGAGTCAGTGGTGGAAATACGTCACGCGCATGCATTGCTCATTCCAAGAAACGGACAAATATGGCGGCCGGACAGCGGAAATCTCAAGTGGACTTAAAATTAACTTTATTTGAAGTCTAAAGGTAATCATTGATTGAGTTCATTGCGACTTTTGAGGCTATAATTCCAGCCAAATTTTTTGAGTTCTGCAATTGACTGAGAAGCAGTAAATCTCAAACTGGGGCCCAATCCGAAATGGGCGTTTTGTCAGTGGCTACGGCATCACGTGAGGATCGTGATGGCCCGCGGTTGAGCGTTTGATTAGCTCGGCTGTCGTGGCTAACCCGTCTGCCTATACCCGAGTCGACCCGGGTCAGCTAAACGAACGCTCCCATTGGTGGCTTATGCACTGAAAAGGAAATTAACATCTTTGGACAGACGAGTTTACCTTCCCCCTGGTCCATATGCACTGTGGCATGGTTCCCAGTCCCTCCCTCGGCCACGCCGCTTGCTTCCATGGTGGAGTACGTCGTGCTGGTCTTTATGCTTTCTCTCATTCCCTTCTTACCTGAATAAAAAATAAAACGGGAAGTTCAAATCAAGTTTTTTTTATTTTAAGGTTGAAAAAAGAAATTGACTGGAGTGGGGTTTGTACCTGCAACCTCTGGCTTGCGCCATGCGTAAGACTTTAATACGCAACAAATTTGTTGCGCAGCTGCGCAATTAACTTCAATAAATTTCACGGAATGTGCTGCGCAACGCTTTAAATAATTTAAACGTCTTGGACGAGGATAACAACAGCACTTACGACGGCTGTTTTGTGTGTGAATTTGTTCGTTTGTGGAACGGTCGTTGGATCACCTTGACGTCACATACCTGCTCCCCTGTCTTCATTTTCCAGTCCACTGCCAATGTCGCTTTCCACGTCTCCGTCCAGCAGTCGATCTGAGTCCTGGTCCCTGGCCTGGACTGGATAGGATACCCCGTCACCCTTACTGCGCTCCGAAGAAAAGAAAAATGTTAGAATTACAATTAACAACTCGCGCGCATCCTCACTGGTTTCCAAGTGCGGTCACATGGCCATCACAAAGAGCCAGCGTTGGGACTACCGGCATGCGGGTTACAACTGGGCCAGCGGTAGCGATCAGGTGTACTCGAAATAAAAAATAGCACATAACCAAATATGCATTGTGCAAAACAATGCAGGCATGCATAGTGGGGATGTGCTGGGCTGTTCTGAATATACCCAATATTCAAATATTCGATCATTGACTGAATATTTGATCTTTGACCAAATATTCAAATAGCTTTTTCCAGACTTTTTGCCGCCTTGAATATTCAAAGGAAAAAAACTATGCACTCACTGTTATTTCAATCATAATACTGCGTGCTTTATTATGAGATTCCACTTTTTGGTTGGCAGTAACTTTTTGTCTGTCAACAGCAGTTCACTGTTTCTATCCTTTTAGCATGTTAAAATCCTTGACAGTTTTAAAATACTGCAAAACCATCTAGCGGCCCATAATATCACTCGATCCACACACATTTTAACGGGGGTGCTTTGCGCATATTGCCCAGTGCGACTTTAGTCTGCTGGGCATGGCACAATGTTACTGCTGGCGCGTGTAGATCTTGATCGGCGAGTTTCGAATATTGGGTCTAACGTTGTAATCGAATACTACATGAACAGCCGTAGTATGTGGACAATTGCACAAGTTCATCCTACCTGGTGAATATAGGAAGCAGCCAGTATCGCTTCTGATCCCCAAAGATCTCCTTGAAGTTGTTGGAGAAGCTTCCTCGGCTGAAACCCTCCTTGTCTGGTCCATGACGGAACACAGGAGCTCGGAAGGACTCTAGACGGAACGAGGTAGGTTGCCAGACAAACAGGATGTTACCATAATACAATTATGCGACTAACTTTGCGATTCTTCAATAACATGTTTGGCAATACATGTCACAATTTACAACTTGATTTCTCAAATAAATGTGGGCTAAGTAACTAAAAGTTTAACACAGAACAGGCAAAATCAACAAAACCTCTTCTTTTTTTCAACGTAATTCGTCTTTTCAAAAAGAAATCTTATTGTGGTTTGAGTTTTATAAATCACAAAACAGACTTCTTTTTATCCTTTTCTATGGCTGAACAAAAACCAAATAGCATTATTTTAAGAAGAAAATGGACATTTGATAAAACTCTTTCTCGTAAATAAAATAACAGATAAACAAGCTCGGTTCCATTTACTGCAGGGTGTCTTAACACTTAACAATCAACGTTTCGACCCCGACATACAAGAATCGAAAGTGACGCATTGTACAGAACTTGAAAAGTGATTTATCAAGTAACAATGTTATAATACACTTTAATAAGAAAGTGAGTCACACAGCAATTTTTCTGCTACAGTTAAATTTCTTGCTACCCTAGCTGCACTAAGCAATTTCATTTTAAGCCAACTACAGATGCAAAAAAAGAAAAAAAGAAAAAAGGATGGTTCGCTATAGCTTGTGTTGCCCGCCCTCATGATCGCACTGAAGTTAGGCAGGTTCTTACCGAGCGTGCTGCGATTGGTGAGTGTTAGGTGCGTGTGCATACACATCAAGATGACCACACTCAGACAGAACATGACCGCCGCAAAGAACAGGAAAACTATTTGGAACTTCCGGGCAGCCCTGTCCCCCAAATCACCCTGAGACACACACACACAGACAGAATGAAAGAAAACACAGAAAGACAAATGCCCTTAAAAAAATTGCCACTTTTTTTGTTCATCAGAATGTGCAAATATGTACACCATAAAATTGTGTCTCGGATACTGTACTGAATTTCATGGGTCCAGAACTGTCATTTAATTTTGAAAACGGGACTATGATAGCATTTGTAACTTTTGCTAGCTTAGACCCTATGTTCCCCGGAGCCGATTTCACGAAACAGTGCCTAAGTTACGCAACAAATTTATTGCACAGCTGCACAATAATCTTACGAGGGATTTTAAGAAACTTGGCGTACCTGCGCAATGTTTTTAAATAATCCAAAACATCTTGGACGAGGATGATAACAGCATTTACGACAGCTGTTTGTGTATGATTTTGTTCATTCATGAAACAGTCGTGGAATCACCTTCGTCAGCCGTTTTGAAACTATTTGTGTCCGACTTTCCTCAGAATTGTGTGACAACTCTTAAAACTCTTTCACAAATTAAAATAGCAATTCTTTTAATCCAAACACAAAGCTGTGAGTGTCTTGTATCAACCTTGATAAGTTGAACAATAATAGGCTCCACAATGATCTCAATTTGCTAGTAAAAAAGGTAATTTCAGTCGCTATGCCACAACTTACGCCACCTAAAATGATTGCGCAAGTTTTGCCATAATTTGTTGTGGACTTACGCACAATGAAACTTTTATGAATTGTCATAACTGAAAGGTTGCGCAGCGTGAAATGTTGCACAACTTGCACAATAAATTGTGTGGACTTATGCCATTGCATAAAGTTTCATGAAATTGGCTGCTGGTATGCAGTGATGCCTACATGTACAATAAATGAATGAACATCTCCTGCGGCATCTCCTGCGGAACCAGTGAAATTTAAGTACCCTTCACCATTTACAAGTTACAAAGAATTAAGTTTGGCCATGCACAAAAAATACCAATTGTGAGAACAGTCATGTCAAACATTTCACATTTCTGATGAGATTTCTAAAAATGAGGGAGCAATGTTACTTTGCAGAATGTGGCCCCCTGTATGCCGACTGATTTTTTTTTCATGGTTGCACAGTTGCATGCATGCCAGAAACTTGCAAGACATGCATTGAATTTGCGAAGGAAAAGAGTGCAGAGGGGTTCACAAACTTGGTGAGAAGAATGAGCAAAGAAAGATGAGAAAGGATCATTGGATTAGTGCTCTTGAGATAAAATTCTACCAGAGCAAAAAATCATAATACATTACATGTGGTAAAAAAAAAGAGTGCATTAAAACAGAGGCCTAGTACAGCAGTGACTATAAATTGTGGTTGAAGAAATATATCTACTGAGGTTTTTTTCTAGAAACGCAATTGACCGTTCAAACTGGATCAACAGTTCGAAGATTTGTTTGTTTGTTTTCAGTTAAGACACCCTGCAGAGGCGGAGCTTCGTATGGCCACACCTCCTACCTAGGGTTGACCAATTATTGGCCACTAGGCGCACGTGAACAAGAAGCAGGACCGTCACACTCAGGCAGAAGACCAAGGAGACTATAAATAGAAACATGACGTTGAAGCCGCCGATGGGTCGGTCCAGAATGTTCTGTGCAGAAGATTAATGTAGAGGCTTACATCAAGTCAGTCACATTACATGTCCATCACATGTCCATCACATGTCCATAATAATCACATATCCATCACACGTCCATCACATGTCCATCACACGTCCAACCCACGTCCATCACATGTCCGCCACATGTCCGCCATATGTCCATCACATGTCCATCACATGTCAATCACAATTCCATTACATGTCTATCACATATCAATCACATTGCAATCACATGGCCATCACATGTCAATCACATGTCGATCACACGTCAATCATGAATCAGTTACTAGTTAATCACATGTCATTGTTTCAGTAATACAATGTACCAGGACATGAAAGTGTGAAACAAAACTAGAAATATCCTGGGAATGAAACTCAACAGGGTTGAAGACAGTACATGTTTACAATGTACATGTACAGATGCACAACTAAGGATATTTTGGAAATGAAACTCCAAAGGCTTAATGACAGTACATGTTTACAGCTTCATGCAAGTTGAAGGTGTACATTTACATGCAAGAAGCGAATTACGTTAAGTGCAAAGACTGACTGAAGTAAACGGCACTTTTCCTTTTGTATTTCAGTCTTTTATAGTGAACACCATGTGTGACTGGTCTGTCATTACTAAGGTGGATGCTTGTTCGTGGGCATGTCTCACACAATCATTATTTCAGGATGGCTTTACATTTTGACAACTCTATCGTTTGATAACGTGAATAATCTGTATGGCCTGCCTGCAGGCCGGGTAATAATGGCTTCTAAATGCCATTGCTTTGTTAGTCTATTCCTGCTGCCGATAATTCTGCAGGTTGTGGGTTCGAGTCCAGCCTGGGGTTATGGTGCGTGTGCCCTTGGGCAAGGCACTTTGTCACTCATTGCTTCTCTCCACCCAGGAGTAAATGGGTACCTGTGAGGGCAGAGATGGTTATTGTGGTTGATTGTAGCTGCTTTGCACCAAAATAGCAGCATCGAGCTGTATACTCCCCAGGGAGCTGAGATTGTCTTTGAAATGTTTCATTGGCCCAATGAGCAGAGAAATAATGATGTAGCGCCTTGAGCACCTATACATGTGGATATGTATGCTTTATAAATACACATTATTATTATTATTACTATCAGTATGATGATGATTTTGACTTAAACAGGACAATTTCAGAAGGGGTTTATCGTCAACCAGACAATTTCGGCTTCAGTTTCAGCTTTTAACTCACAGACATGTTACTGTGACTACCCATGAGGTAGGAAAAAAACCCAAACATTTCGACAAAGGGCCTGATTAATTAATGAATGGATTTGATAAATTTTCAAGAAGTGTGCATTTATATTCTGAATTTTCAAGAAGACTTTCCATGGATAACAAATCGTCTTACCTCCCAGAACTGAATGAAGAATGGTAGCACAGTGATGGCCACGTAGAAGCAGTATAGTATCGTGTAGAACAAGAAGAGGACAAAGAACTTGTAGTTGCTGTAGCAGACACAGTTGTTGACCCAGGGACAGTGATGGTCCATCTTCAGGATACAGCTGAAAAAAAAGCATACCAACCAAATAGCAGTTAACCCAAACCTTCTAAAAATCCTCCAAAATTCTCTTTGCAAAATGGAAAGGTTACACGGCAGCAGTGTGTTGCCGATTCTGGAGGATGAAAATAGTCAGGCACCATTCCATTCAACAGTTTACAGTTTATAAAATACATTCAGGGAACAAGATCAAAGATGGCTTCCTCATGAATAAGGTCTATGATTGACTCTGCTGGCTTGTGCAGATAACATATGAACAGCATTGACAAAATGAGAGTAAAATTATATGCATTTAATATTTATTCATAAATTCAATAAATTCACAACACACTCGCCACAGCTGCATCTGCGCGACATGCAAGCGCCAAACTCAATAAAAGGAGTTGTTTACATCTTAATCGCGAACATGAAGTGAAAACGTTGGAAATGTTGGAAACAAACTCGTTGGAAATTTTTAATTTTTGACTTGTTTTATCAGCATTCCAGACTCCAACCGGTCTTACACAAAGTGCTTAACACCTTCCAAGCACATATTTACACAACACAATGTATTCCCTTAATGTTTTATAATTATGCAAATTTGACGGTTTTTTTCCAATAATGACATCATTACATTACAATCACTGAAATTCATTTTGGTTTCACTTGCATGCATACACGTAAACTAACCTTTAAAACCGCAATGCAGTCACAATATATAGGGTAATATTAGGTTTGATTATTTATACTGGGGAATTTAGTTATAGCCTTGTGTCTGCAGTCTACAGCTGCAGGCTGCTGAGCTGAAAGATATTATAATATATTTATGAAGAAACCAATGAAGCATGGCATGGAGCAATTACAGTTGACTGGTTTTTCAGCATGCATGGCTGAGCGTACCGGTAGTTTTATACAACTAAAGATGTCCCTGGCCCAACCAAAGGCTGATCCATTGTGTACATGCGTTTTGCGTTATGAATATTTTAAACGCACAAGGTGAAAGAATTCAAATGTGGCTCATTAATTGAATGCAAATAGAAAATTTAATTTTCATGCTAGCCTAATCTCCATGTTTGCATAAATGATTCCAAAAGATATTTGTTTGTACTGTCCTGAATATACCGAATTATATTTGATCATCAACCGAATACTTGAATAGCTTTTTGCCAGTTTCAATATTCGAAAAAAAGAAGAAAAAAACCATGCACATGCACACAGGTCTTGAATTTAGTAAGTTTTAGCATAAGGCCACTTTGGCCTTGAATAATGTCTGCAGAAGGGGCACAGAGGCTAAATGTGAATATTAATACTCAGAACACCACCTGCACGCTTGCTGTGACTATCGTCACTTGGCTCGTACACGAACATCTCTGCTCATTGTGTATAGTGTGTGCAAGTACTGAGAAAAAGAAAGTCGGTTGACTTTGCACGTAAGATCTGCCGTACGAAATCCTGCTGGCATGTATATGTACGAATACAGACATTTACTTTTTCGGCAGGGGTGTTTCGCTGCTTAAAGTATCGGCACACCCCAGACCAGACTAGATTGAGTTTGTGGTACGTGCACATACGTACAGTGGGGAAATCGCGAAGCCAGATTTAGTTTGTGCTTACATACATCGTTTATCTGGCCGCGTGTGTACGTGTGTGATTGATTCAGCGAGATTTTAAGACAACCGATCAGGCATGACAATGAAATACAATGTTAATGTGTGTAAAAACATATAGGCTTATGGTTGTTTTCGCAAAAGGGATCATGGATGTTTTCGCAAAAAGGGCAAGACAGCCAAGGTTAATATGGGGGCAAGGCAAAACTGGCCGTGAAAACAGGCATTTTTTGTGGGGCACCCCGACCAGTAAGAACGCAACTGGCCGTCGTGGCCGTTGTTAACTTCAAGCCGTGTTATACTACAAAAGTAACTAGTAAGAAAAATTAACATTTCAAGGTGTACAAAAGCTGTGTTTTGTTTAGGCATGGATTTATCACACTTACTGGAATATTGCCAACCAGCTAAACTTTTGCCAAAGAATGATAAGATGACAGAGTGTACTTACACGTTGCACATGGAGCAATGGTGACATCTATCTGGCTTGATCAGTTTACAAATATGACAGTACCTCATACCTGCAGACAAAAGACATAATCATTGTTAAACAAAAATTTACTTGACACCTTTAGTTTTGTTAAAGTGAGGAACAATTTTTCAGAAAACTCTTCACCTCTAAAATATTGACTGATTGCTTTATTTTGAATTAATCTTCAGAGATGAAACAAGCTTATGGGGAAAAATATCGGAAAACAGAAATGAACTATGGAGTAACCATGAGACCTTTAATGATCCTTTCAATGAATAAAAACAAAATGTTAAAAAAGCATAAAAAAAAGGAAGTTTCTGTGAGGGAGTTTTAGGGGCATCACTGAAGGTGCTACTACACGATAAGTGCATTCGCACATGTGGTCGCGTGCAGGATTCACTGCATGATAGTACGAAGCAAACTTTTCTAGGATTGGTCTTTTTGATAGTGGACTTACACATTTGCTATAGAACAATAGCTTCAATACTTTTTGTAGAAACCAGAAAGCGTTAAAAATATAACTTTAAATGGGATACTGGTATTTCTTTAATCACTATTCTTTTATCACTATTTTTTTTATCCTTTTTTCCAAATGGAAGAGGCACGCAGACAGCTGTATGCACTAGACTCCGTGACCAGACTACAACACCCCCAAAGTGAAATGTGTACAATGGTATACAGACCTCCTCCGTATGTGCGTGTCCATATTGGCAGCCGTTTGTCTCTGGCCAAGCTCTTCAAGATCTCAATCTTCTCTTCGTTGCGATCTTCGGCTTCATACTGCTGGAGCTCCGAGCTGGTTAAGTAGAACTATGGATAAAATGAAGTACATTTTTGTCAGTGAAACCCAAAAATAATAACAGATCAATTTGAAGTGGGTGAGCAGTAAGAGGGGGGGGGGGGGGGGGGGCATAACTAAGGCGGTAGGGGTTCAAGGGCAAATGTTCCGCATGCTTGTTTGTTTCTTTACACTTTTCATAAGATAGAATTTGCGTTGGGGTATTGTAAATCAATGTTAAGTTTTTGCCCTTCACCAACGTATAAACACTGTATACTCAGTGTGTTACCTCCCGAGTGAAAGTTGATAAAAAATTCACTCGGGTGGGACTCGAATCTACGACCTCCTGCTTTCTAGTGCAGACGTCTTACCACCACATGTACATCAGATTCGTTTATTTTACAGGTCATATTTTTACAACTCACCTCGTCTGGCACTTTGGCAACCGGCGTCCATATAGTCCTCCAGTACACCCATAGAAACATCACCAAGAAGACATGGTATAGAACAAGATACAGCACTGTACAAAAAAAAAAAAAAATGAAGAAAGAAGATGTGCATGTTTACTTAAAGGAGAAAACGTTATGTATTTTACAAATTTTAAGAAACAGCTACACTCATGAGAAAATGTTTCATTAAGACATGTTTGGTTGTGTCTGTAACATCAACTATTTCATGTCAAATTTAAACTCATTTTGTTGGATTTCACAATTATTATGTAAGCACAAAAGATTTTCAACCCCCCCCCCCCCCACCCCGGCCCCCTTCTGAAATTTGGGATTTTTTTTCAAAGATCATAACTGAGCACAGGCCATAGTGGAGAAAAATGCCAAAAACCAAATGGGGGTGATTTGTTTTTTTGATTTTAGATTTATTGATATTTTTTATCTTTGATATGTCTACTAAAGACATTTAAAGCAAGAGTATTTATAAACAATATAAAACAATTTTTAAGGAAAAACAATTAGCATCTTGCAATTTCATTTTCACGAATACAAACTCGAAACTTAAAAGCCTTTTTTTCTCAGCATTTTAATTTTTGGACAATATGTCCATTAATGCGAACTTTAAACAGCATTAACTTGTCAACGGAATATATCAGATTGAAGTGCAACAAACAGTGTTATATTCTCTTTCCTAATACCCGCAAACCCTCATTTTGACCTCTGACTTTATCTGTAAGGAAAGTACATGTACATCTGTGAAGTTATTTGTAACACATAAGAAAACAAAATATTAACTTACACATGAGCGGTATACTCTTACCCACGAGGATAACTGAAAGAGAAAAGAAAGGATCATTTTACGACAAGTTCCTTGTTGTGAATTGCATCATGATAAACGATATCAACTGACAACTACATTACATGCAGCGTTTCACTGAATGTGCTGCGTGTATGCTTCTTAGCCTATGTCTTCGCAATTTATTTTGATAGTGGATATTATTACGGATCTGGCTTCTTTTAGTAAACGTATTAAGCCGGAAAGATCTTACAGCGCCCTCTTTGATGCGTAGATGAACCTAATTTGATTTATATCACCCTGACGCAAAAATTCCATCTTATAATATTCTTCTTGTAATGTTTTAAATTGACTGCTACATTTATTTGTAGATTATTACATTTTCTTTTTCTGATTCGTGGCTTTGGAGGATTTTTTTTAATAAAAGGGAAATAAAGTCCGAAATTGTAAATGGTCTGATTCCCATCTCGTGGATACGAAGTCACACAACGCCATATTTTCGCAATTTATTTTCCTTCCAAATCAAAGATGTGTGACACGACAAAAGCCATACACATTAATAAACATGAAGAAATTATAGTACACGTGTCATTAGTGGGCCTATGCGAAGGCATAATGATACTGCCATAGGCCATAGGTACGGTGTGCCTAGCCCCACTCCCTTAACATTTGTACTGCACTTTATCATAGAGCAATGGGAACATGTTATACATGTTGAATCATACTAGTGAAACTGTGTCACTGACCAAAGTTCCATTTAACATGTTTAATATCATTAACAAATAACAATTAATGTGTCTAATTTCGGATTTTCCTAAATACTTACATATACATAATTCCACAACGTATGCATAGTACGACCAGATAATAACAGCTGTGATAAAAACCACGGGAAACCAGCCACAGATCTTGAGGCACACACCCAAAACCCCCATCTTTAGAAATGACCGAAATGACTCAACAACATCTGCGAGACCACTATTCTGTGATACCGCCCTCTGTTGAAATTTTGCTCTCAATTTTACCGTCTGAAAACCACTTCCAACATTTCACAAAAGCTCAATATAAAAGCAAGGCACCAGTCTCGTTATTTCACGGCGCGGCGAGAGTTTTGCATTTTTTTAGGATTTGAAAAGGATTGAAAACATGTCTTTCCCTGGATTTGGGACGTCTTTCGGTGCGCAAAGTGCTACCACCACCAAACCTGCGTTTGGTTTTGGAACATCATCGGCACCACAAACGGGTAGGAAGATGAAATGTTAATTTTGTACCACTCACTACCAGATTGTACGAAATCAATTGTGTAACTAAATGGGCAAAAACTGCCAGCCTGCCACTGGTGGCGCTGTTTACTAGTACCAGCTGCCTAAAACTTAAGTAAGACAATGTATGTTTGTTTGTTTACATCGTCATGATCATGCTGACAATAGAGATCTCTCATAGGATGCCATCTTCGTAGGAAAATTACAACTGCGTGTAATTGTGCGCGCATTGTGCAAAATGCTTGTAGGGGCCTAGGCCTAACACCCTTGCGTGTTGCTCGAAATTTCTTCGAAATACGGCGCAGCCTATGCGCGTCACAAAAAATTGACGCCCAAAATGCCAATGCACATGGCAATCTGTAGGAAGTGACGTCATTTGAGAGAGACAGCCTATAGAGCTTTCAAACATATATTTTTGATAGTGGATATTTTGCCGGAGGTAATGATGGCAAACTAACGATTACTAAAGGTTTGCCGGCGGCAATCCATATCAACAGAGGGCGCTGTACTCTTTAAAATAGGGCTGAATTATAAGGTGTATTAAATTCCCACCAAAAGTTCTGTAGCACGTTTGGTGTAGTGGTTAAGCAAAGGCTCTAGTAAGCGGGATGACTCGCGTTTGAATCCGACCGCACCACGTTTTTAATTTTTTTTTTCTCATCCCCAAATAAATAAGAATATTCTTCTTTTATTATTTTAACATGTCTCAAACATTTTTTGCAGAGTATTACATTTTCTTTTTCAGATTTGTGGCTCTGGAGGATTTTTTTTAAAAGGGAAATAAAGTCTGAAATTATAAAATGGTCTGAATCCCATCTTGTGAATACGAGGTAACAACGATAATTTTGGCATGGAGCCAGACTAAAACTTGTCACCGGAAAATGTTGAAGTACAAAAAAACAGTAACTGCGCATGTTCAGTGCATATCCGGCAAACTAACGTTTACTAAAGGTTTGCCGTCTCCGGCAAAATATACACTGCCTATATTTTTCGTATAGCCTACATTCATTGTTAATAAATAATATGAAAGAATTCATTAAATTGAAATAAGGGTGATTGTGTAGTTCCAAAACTAAATTGTTATCGTAATGTTAAACTAGCAGACTTCCCTTAATTCTAATGAAATCATTTTTTTTTGAAATTTTGAACAGTTTTTTTTTGCGGTAGAAAATGCTTCGTTATTTAAATGACCATGTGTTAATCTTGTTCATTGTAATTTGTATTGTGTTGTCTGTCAGGTTTTTCATTTGGCGGGGCCAAGACAACCGCACCGACTTTCTCGTTTGGAACAACGACAACTTCGACCACAACAACAGCACCCACCGGGTTCGGGTTTGGAGGCACGGGTGGGTTTGGGGCCACCTCCACCTCTACCGGGGGGACCGGTTTTGGGTTTGGCACGACAGCCACAACGTCAAGCACGGGACTTGGGTTCGGAACAAGTATGTACCCAAGAAACACAGGCCAACTTTACTCACTCTTTAGCCAGCAAACTTCTCCAAAGTTTTCATTTGGGCAAGGAAAAGGTCCTCAGTATTTTCGCAACCAAGTTTGAAGACTCAATTCAATTTTTAAAGGAGACTTTTCTTCCATATTTTTGCAAATGAGAGGGAAGTCAAGTGATTTCAAAATGAGGCTAAAGACTAGACTGGTACATGTCCAACCATTTTCCAACTGTTTGAAAAGACTGACTTCTTCATTTTCTTATATTGCATGTTTTCAATACCTTAATTTTTGCGACTCTCATACAGAGTATTGAGAGTCTCAAATTTTCGGACTAGACAATTTGTAACCCAAAATTATTTTAATCTTTTGATTTGTTTCTGGTATTTGATGTGCAGGCTTTGGAGGCTTTGGGGCAGCCAAGACCACAGCATCTTCACTCTTTGGTGGTTTTGGCACAAACACGAGTACCACCAGTTCTGGGTTTGGACTAGGCGGCACAACTGCATCCACAGGTACAAATACAAACAACATGAAGAGATGCAGCCAAATTTTCGTGGAGCTGGCAAAAAGACAACTTTGAGGATCAAAAATGGTTCCTTATCCAGTTCGTTTAATAGTGTGACATCACTTCAGTTTAAACCACGCCCACTGTACATCAAGTAGCATTGTAATCATTAAACCAGAAGTTAAGGCAACTTGAGTGTTTAATCAGTGGTGCGTGCGCATGTATGACAAAGTTACTAACGAACCGGATAAAGTTGGCAAAAGTTATGGCGATGTGTAGTGTAGGGCCTCCCTTTAATTTTGATAAAATTTAGAGTCAAGGGTGTTTATTATCATTCCAAAATGACCTAGATTGTTTTTGTAAAGTTCCTGAATTTGAATTATGACGCATTGATAATGAATATCTATAGCAGCTGTCAGATTGTATCTTTGTTACTTTTCTGTGTAGGTTTTGGTGGGTTTGGCACTGGTTTAGGTGCTGGGCTGTCTACGGGTTTTGGCGCTCAGCAGCAACAACAACAACAACTGCAGCTGCAACAGCAACAGCAGCAAGGTACGGCATGAATAAGCTATTTGTAATTAACCTATCCTGTTTGGGATTTAAATTTGAGAAACATCTGGTACAGTGACTTGCTCACAATACTTGGCACGTTTTAACTTTGAATTCTCCAGACCAAAGACACTGTTGCTAATCACATGATTCGGGGCAAGCTCTTGCATAGTTAGCTGAGAGACGCTCAACACCAATACATTGTTCACAATGGGTGAGAATGGCACAAAGACACCAGACCATGCCGGAGCTGGGGGTTGCTAGCATAAGGCTTGCCCCGAATCACAAGGTATAGTAACAGTCTCTTTGATCAGGAGAATGCAAAGTTAGAAGCAGACTTTGCAGGTTTCTTAGAAAATAAAATGTCTGGGGTTATGGTTGATGCTCCTTATCCTCAAAATGTTTCCAGGAGTTGGCGCAGACTTGATGGGCATATCCACCGCCTTACTGATGCCTACCATCTACGGCGATGAGAGAGATGCGATCATCGCAAAGTGGAATCAACTACAGGCGTTCTGGGGCACGGGCAAAGGTTACGTCAATCAGACAGCCACCGTGCCGTTCACTCCCGAAAATCCCTTCTGCAGATTCAAGGTATGTATGCAACCCATTCTGCAAGGAATCTTGGGGCTTGTTGGCTTCGTGTTTGATGACAGAGAGCGCTATATAGACTCGTTGTATAGACCACCAGTTGTTTTGAAAATGTCCTACTTTGTTTTATTGTGATTTGATTCATAGACAGTCGGTTACAGCGTCAAGCCGTCATCAAAAGACGAGGACGGCTTGGTCATTCTACACTTCAAGAAGAAGGAGGAGGAAATCCGCAGCCTGCAACAGCAGCTGGTGGACGCGCTGTTCAAAATCCTGGGGAGTAAACCCACACTGTCTGTCTGCGTGGAAGACGTGAAACAGCTGCCCGATGACAAGTAAGCAGAAGTCAAAATTGAATTTGTAGTCACAAAGTAATTAATAGATTGTAGTTTGTGTCTTGGAATAAAAAATTGTAATTCCGTGCTTGCCTTATTTTTGTTTCAGGACGGAGGTAATCATCTACATCCAGGAGCGGTCACCCACTGGTCTCTCTCGGCGCATCCCAGCTTCCACCGCCTTCAGTTTCTTCAGTCAGTCCAACATCAAGGCCCAGCTAGGTAGCCTAGGAGTGGTGGATATGGTTCCCAAGCTGGCACTGTCCGAGGCGCAGATCGACGCCTACTTGAGCACTCCGCCCCTGGGTAAGGGCTGATTTGGATGATTATAAGTATGTCTGCCTTAGTAACATCATTATTCCCCCTCCCTCTCTGGCAGTCAAAATCGATCAAGTGATTGTTTTCAAACAGTTATCAACCATTAAACAGCACAACGGCCCACACAACGGTCAGCCCACGGTCCGCCTCCACAGACTATACAGACTTTGTGTGTGTGTACAAAAGGCACGAGGGATTAGCGTGTTAAGACGTCACCTGGAGGCAAGTTTAGGCAATCTGGACGTCTTAATCCGTCAGCCGTGCCGTGCACAAAAACAGCCAGTGCGTGTTATCACGTCCTCCGACGCGAACTGGTTAATTCTAGTCAAGATTCATGTTGAATTTTAAAGATTCTTTTTTAGGTGTTGGACCTTTTTTAGTAGTTGTTTTTTATTTCTTTTCAGGGTATGATCCCAGGCTGTGGAGACAGGCTAAGCTCGACAACCCTGATCCAGAAAAGTAAGTCCCATTTTCAGACCAATTCAAATGCTTCATTCTTGTTTTATTTATTTGAAAAGTTTACTTTAATTCTTAGTTTACACAGTTGATTGAAATAGCTTGTCAGTTCACTGGATGACATTTGTGAGGCGTTCTGACAAAACGAGATGGAACTGGGCACAGTTTTTTTTCCTAAATGTATCCTTTTTATTTTGTGCAGCTAGCATACCATCATTTTTGGCCATCAGGTCTTTATGTCGTTATGGCGCTGAAACCCTTTCTTTTTTTCTCCGACAGACTGGTACCCGTGCCGATGGTTGGTTTCCACACACTGAAGAGCAGGCTGGAAAACCAGGAGCAGCAAACCAAACAGCATCAGGCCAGACTAGACGTAAGCTGATCTCGGCCGACCTGTTCAATGAGCTTAACCACTTGCTTCGCAATAATTTCGGGAGCTTTTAGCATCCGGGAAATTGTGAAAAAAAAGGCAACAACTACCTCATAATATTGTTTTATTACTTTCTTCAAAATGACAGCATGCAAGAAACACTGATTTCACAGGGAGTTAAGTTCCATTACCATCTTTAAACCAAATAAGCTTTTCAGCAATAATTTTGTCAGTTACTTTTTGGATAGCTGCAAATGATCTACTCTACCTTTAAAGTAAATCTTGTCATGTAGACTCTTCCTTCTCTCTCTAAACAACAAACATGTGCATGCCTCTCCCCCACAGATGATCGGTCAAGACACAGAGACCCTCCAACACAAGCAGACCACCATCCAAGCCAAGATAGCCGAGTACAAGCGACGTCACCTAGAACTGTCCCACAGGGTGCTTAGAGTCATGGTCAGGCAGGAGACTCAACGCAAGGCGGGCACGGCCATACAGACAGAGGAAGAGCAACTCAGGACTAGGCTGGAGGGCTTGCAGGCGGAGGTCAATGCGCCCACGCAAATGAAGGTTGGTACACTGGCTCTTGTCGTCTTACTGACTGAGTCACTGACTGAGTCACTGAGTCACTGCCTGACTGACTCCCCGAAATTTCCAACGATTTTGTTGAACAATTTTACTTCATGTTTTGAAAAACACCCTTAAAGTATGTTATGGTATGTGCCTCTTGCAAGTAGTTGTAAACAACTCCTTATATAGAGATCTGTACTGCGCAATGTGGCGCAGAGCGCAGCTGTGCCAGTATAGTGTGAATTTAGGACTATGAAATACTGACTCAATGGTAGTATTTAGCATGCCTAAACTGTTTAAAACCAGCCAGCTGGTGTTTTATCATCCATTTAAGACGCGAGACGGGCTCTCGACCAATAGGAATGGCTAAACTGTCTTGGGTATTTATGAATATTGTTTAACCATTTGTTGCACAGATTGTTTAGATTAGATGCACGGTTTATAACTATTTTATTGGGCGGTTGTAATTATATTTCCACAGGGACGGCTGAATGAAATGATGTCCCAGATCAGATTGCACAGCCACCTACCGTCGGGCCGGGGATCGGAGCAGTACACGATAGCCGCTGAAATGCAACAAGAAATCAGACAGGTACGGGCCAAAATAAACAATTTTGCAAACTTTGCTTCTGGGTTGTGTAAAAATTATTAAATTCAATAAGTTGTGTTTGAATACTGACCAAAAAACTAAGAAAATCATGAGTGAAGTGCCATAACTGAAGTTGTACCATAACTGCAGTCGGACATTCCGTAGACAAGTTGTGGTTGTTTCAAGTTTGCATTTATCATCACGTAGGGCATCAGCCTGGGGTTTTGGTCATTGCCAAATGAGGGGAATAATGCTCATTGTGATTTTTGGCAAGGTATTCACCCCTCAATTTTTTTTTTGCAGAATGTTATACTTCAGAACACAATGATCTCAATTTTGCTGGTACCCCACTATGCTTTTGCACGCAAATTATGAAACGTTTATCCTGAAAGAAAAATCGGCAAATCTTGATATGCACATGCGCAGTTGGAATACCGAAATCGCGTATTGTTGCTGTACATTACTTGTAGTTCACGGATAACTTGTTATTTATTTGCCAGCATTTGAAGCACCAGCAGGAGGGGTTGAGCCACCTCATAGCCACCATCAAAGGAGACCTACAGGACCTCAAACTCATCGAACAGGGCTTGCAGGAATCAACGTCCCACCGATGAAATCAACTTTTGATTTCTGACGGGTAAGTCACTGGAAATACGTCGGTTTCATGGAAATTGAGGGATTTTCAACAAGGGAGACCACTCCAAAAATGTTGTGGCATTGTGATGTTACCCCTACCAAGTACAATTGTGGACCATAATGGCAGATTTGTGACTCATCTTATGCCTGTTTGCTGATGCTAAGCCACATCTTAGTAAACTGTTTGCGGCTACGACATCATTTTTATATTATTGCACTACAGTGCATAGCCGTAGCCGTTGAGGAAAATGCGAGTGATCTTTGACCAAACTACAGTCAAGTGTCGTCATGAAACTGTTCCCTGGCTCCCTGCTGTGCATTTTGGACATGGGTTGTTGGTAACCAGTGATTGGACCAACCTCTGTAGATTTCTGAACTTGCCCTTGGATAACGATGGACCACATGTGATGTGGATATGGCTGCCTGGGAGTTAACATACAGCTATCTTGGGAATTGTCAACTGGCATTACGCTCATTTCATCTTGTATTCTGCGAATGTATGGGGATGATCTTGTCTCGGAAGCATACACCAAATGAACACGACAGTGTGATACAACCGACTAAAGGCCTTTTCACACTAGAGCCTCTCTACCCGGGTTGAACTCTACCCTGGGTGAACCCAGTGTGCTGCCCCGGATTGATTTTTTTATTTTTTCAACCCCACGTTCAACCCCGCATCATTTCACACTTGTTACTTTGCAAACCTAGCTTATTTCGCTCAGTTACTGCTGTTTTGAACCCGGGGAGAGTTTCAACCCGGGTTGAAAATGTAAATCCTGGTCTGGAGCAGGGTTGGGTTCAACCCGGGGCAAAATCCATCTCAGGGTTGACGCAGGGTTGGTGGGGTGAACATTTTCAAGTGTGAAACGCCGCATGTTTTCAACCCTGTGTCAACCCCACGTCAACCCCAAGATTTGTCGTGTGAAAAGGCCTTAATTAGAGATTTTATGTGATTTCTACAAACTCTTCCAACTTTAGCCTTTTCTCAAAATGTGAGAGAGTGAAAGATTTGCTACCACAGCTACTTATTTGCGAGGACACGTTTCAAAAAACGGAGGGCCTGCTTACGACAAAATATCACTTTCTTATTCAGAATATTGTAACAATGTCTTCAGTTTACAGATAAACTTATTTAAAAAAATTTTCTTTTATGTCAGCTTTCCATTCTTTTTATCAATTTCAGTTTTTGTCTTGTGTTCGATTTACTTTGTTTAAATTCAGTTTTGTACATGTAAACAGGAAGACATATACATGCAAATTAATTGCACCAAATGTTGAAATGGAATGTTTCAATACCTCCAAATGACAAATAAAATCATGCTGACAACACGTTTGATTTCATTTTACTGTGTTATTTTATTTTTGCTTTATTATAAAAAAATAAATAGATGTACAATACATTGTGAATCAGTTAATATCAAGGAATAAAAGTTTCCAATGCCCTTGCATTCAATGCATATCTCTGATGTGAAGCCTCTACGCCGTATTCTAGCACACAATTTATGATGAACGCCTTATCAAAAACAACGTTTGTATTTAACGTTTGTGTCGAGATTCGACAAACACGGCCAACATTCTCAAACTGTTTCCAACTTTCTAAGCTTTTCCTTTTTTCCTTAAGCTTTTCCTGAATCCTACAGATTCCACCATTTCTTATTAATCCAACAACTCATTCTTTGCCTTCTTCAATCTGTCCTCAATCCTTCAAAACCAACTGGGTAATTTTTGTGTGTGGATCTTGCAGGGTAAAGATTATACATTGTATAAGGTATTTCTCAGTGCAAAAATACAATACAAGTACATACTGTGCATAATATGGCATTTAACAGATTGCATACACAAGAAATCAGTACAGTTAAATCACGGGATGAAAATAGTTGAAAGCAGATAAATTCTGACATGGAAGAGTGCAGCTAACATTATATTGCCTGAATATCAGCCTTGAAATTTCAGAAATGTATAACTGGAGGAAAAAAATAATTCTAAAACAATTACAGATATTGGTACATCTATACCTTTGGTTGAATAAAGCTATTGACTAATTTCAACTACAATATTAAGTGTACTTTCTAGTACTGTTTCTTGAATAATCATTTGAAACAGTCTTGAATAAATTTCATGAGTGAAAGTTAAATATTGATTTTGAGCTAATTGGGCCGTTCGTGTATTTGGATCTGTGTTCAAGGACCTACTTGCACTAAAAATGATACTGAAAATGCGAATATCAGTGACAACGCAGGGCATTTGCCTGGTACCCAAAGATTCTTAATTAACAATGTGTGATAAAGAATTAGTAAATTTGCATACAAAATATAATAATATCTTATTTTTTATATTAACAAAACATTTTTTGCCTTATAAAACATTTGTGTTGTTACATTTGGTGTACCGCGGAAATAATTGTGATCTTTTAAAACAATGGATAAAAGGTAACATCATGTGACATCAAGTAACGTTAAGAGCTTGGAATGGAAGAAATCTAAAAGATGTTCGCTGCAAACAATATGAAAGTTGAATCCTGTACATAATATGCAGGTTGTCCCACAAAAAAAACTTAACAGTCGAAAACCAATTAATAAAGGTATACTGCATGTGAGTTTTGGAATATTTTCAAATTACATCTTAAAGTCAGATAACCTATCTACCATACAAACTTTATTTCATTCATATCGATGCATTGGAACACTATGCTTCATCGATCCCTTAAGGTTTGGGAATCGTCTGGGGCCACTCTCCTTGAAAGTTAGAAAGCGCAGTTAGAGAAACACACCAAGGATTTATTGCCTTTGTTCACAAGTAACGTGACTTATTCTACCGGCTTCGATCTGTAAACTTGATAAAGTGGCCCAAGTAGTTTTTCAAGTCCCGTATTGTGATTGCTGTATCTTTTGAACAAAACATCCTAATGAAACCAACTAAAAAGCATTTGGAAGACCAATTATTCTACTCTGCAAAACATTACACACAATTTTGAATACTGCCCCCACTTTTCTGAAAACACTCCTGATTCAACTATTGGGTTTTTAGTGGGACAACCTGTACAACTTTTTTTGAAAAAATGAAATTCCAATCTCAAAATACATTGTGGAGGTACACTAGATAAAATGAAAAACAAAGTATAATGAATAGGATGACAAATGCTCATTAGAATACAATGAATGAATTTTGAATCACGTCACAAAGAACAAATGCAAGCACTGTAATAAATAACTGCATAAATGAACACAAATTTGCATAAATGATTTTGGAATTTGGGAAAAAACTCCCTCTATCTACTACCAACAGATTTCGATTGGAAGGGTTTAAACATCAGCAGTGCTTGTTTCAATTGATCTAAAATAGAACATTCTAAAATAGCACAATGTGTCAGTACATCAGAGGAAACATTACTTGTCATTTTCAGTGTTTCTTCATTGATATAAGTTACATTTCAGAACAGTTAAAACAAATTCCTTGAAGATTTTATGAACTTTCATAATGCGTGAGACGTTCTGGCAAAATGAGATGCAACCGGGCACAGGCCGTAGTGGAGGAAAAATGCCCCCAATTTTTTTTTAACAATGGGGCGATGTTTTCTTCTTTGATTTTCAGATTTAGTAATATTGGTATCTTTAATATGTCTACAACATATATTTTAAAGAAATAGAACAAAAATTGTGGAATAAAAGTTTTTTTTCCCCAGGAAAAATAATTAGCATCTCTCATTTTCAAAACTACATATCTTGAAACTTTAAAGGACTTTTTGTCATTTACACCTTTTTTTTGATATTTCGATCAATGTGAACTTTAAACAGACATAAATTGTCAATGGAATGTCGGATTGAAGTGCAACAAACAGTATTGTAAGGAGAATTTTATTCTCTTTACTAATACCTGCAAAACCATCATTGTGACCTCTGCCCAGTTCTGTCTCATTTTGCCAGAACGCCTCACATGATATTCAATTTCAATATGAAAACGTTTCACTCAGACGTTCAGAATACACACTTTGACAAGGAAGACAGAAATTGTGATGCTTTGCTCCTAATAACCCTCGAGTTGACTTCACACTTCATCCTTCACATAATTCTGTGATGTCGCCTACAAAGTTTCAGTACATGCTATAAATTCTAAAGACATTGTCATGTAGTTGTTTTGCATAGCAACATTTTTGATCCCAATCATGATTAACAAACTGAAATTCTATGCTAAAGGTGGAGGACATTGTAGATCATTTGTCATGTGTGCATTTGTTTCGTTTGAAGCAACAAAAGTGCTCATAATCTAAAGACAGGTGCTTAACAACTAACCCTGATGAAGTTTGAGCTCAGTGAATGCTCTATATTGAGAAAACAATATTCTAGGATCACGATTGCAATTAAAAAGTTGCCGAATCATATTTTGAATTGCGCCCAAAATCAGCATCTGAAACACGTTCTCATTCAGCCGATTGCAGCTACGCGATGTCACGCACTGAACCAACGAATAATAGCAACCTGTGCGTGTGCGTCATGTCAATGCTTGCGTGCACCCATTCACGGATTTGCCCAATTACAAACCAACGACTATCGGAAAGTTCCAAAAATGTGTCACTTGACTCATCTTTGGAAATGACCTTCTGTTATTGTTTTTCTTCAAAATGACAGCATGCCAGAAAGAATAATTTCACAGGGAGTGTAAAGCCATCACCATCTTTAAACCAAGTAAGCTTTTCAACAATAATTTGGTCGGCTAGTTTTTGGACAGACGCAAATGATTTACTCTACCTTTAATGCACTGAGAAATCAAATGAATGTTAATTCCAAAGGAAAATTTAATGTTTGGTGGAATGGAATGGGATTCGATATTTGGTGGTATGGTCAAATTTCTATTTTAAAAAATATGAAATGGTAATTGAAATTCAGCTAGGCTGTTCATTTGGGTGGGCTTCTGCAAAAAAAATTGGTGGAAAAATAATTCAAAAATACAAACGGGGTTATTAATAAGAATGGGAATTTGGTATTTAGGAAGTCGTTGGAAGGAGTAATATAATTGTCGTTGGTGGAGAGGTGTGTTGTAGGCAATATTTCAAATATTTTAAATCAATACAGAATACAAAAGGTGTTTTGTGCATACAAATAAAAGGGTTCTGATTATCGGTAACAATAGTTGGAGCCTGAAATGTGACTCACCATACTGGATTTCACACTTACTAATGCAATGATGTCCAATACAAGCGAATTTCAACAATGTCCATACAACTTGCGATAGTCGCAATAAAATTAATATATTATCTCATGGTTTGGTAAATTCAATAGACTATCAGTGTGTTTCACTTGTGTGCTGGATTGGTGGATCGGTGGACGCTGAAGAACTCAAGAAGCTTTTGTGGAAGTGTAGACGTTTGCCCCGTTCATCTGCAGACTTGGTACTCCGTACGCCAAGAAAACGGTGCTCAATGAATGACTCATATTTCCATCATCATACACGGTGAAGAACAATGTTGAGAGACGAGAGATGCAGTACTCCCACTTGACTGGTCCAAGTTTGTCTCTGCGTCCCGGTCCATTTAGCCTCATGGTCATTCCTGCATCCGCCTCAATGGAGGTAAGACGCTGGAGGCAGTGTAAGAAGCTGCATCAGTTGTGTAGCGATGAGAATCGTGTCTGTCTCAGTCTTGTAGTTATGGCTCACCCAGGGGTGGAGTGGAGGGGAGGGGAGTGAAAGGGGGGGGGGGGGGGCAGGGGGCCTTGGTCAAAGTCCCGCCCCAAAGGCCAATTTGAAGGCAAGTTCAATCACATTCTGAGTTGCACTTTCATGGTAGCAGACGTAGCATTCCCTGGGACTTGGCTCCTCGAACAGCCTCCTGGAAAGAAACAAATACGGATGAAAAACAATAAAGATCTGTATTCAAGGTTCACTATTCATGCTCCATCTCTTTGGAGCTCCTTGCTTAGTGGCTGTTTCCCTCCATTCTATGTTCTACCCTCTTTTAACAGGAATATCAACTCCTATTTCCAGCTCTCCTAATTAATTTGTATTTCTCATCATATTTTTCTTCTCTGTAGCCCTTTGCCAAGAGTGGCTTTTATAGCTTTGCTTGGGGCGATATTCCATAAATTTTTTTAAAAAGAGTTAACTCACCCCACGACCCAGTAGTTGATGCTTGGTGGTGTCTTCTTCTCCTGCCAGTTTTCTGGCTGGCATTTAAACATGACGCCGTACTCCCTGACGTACCCCATGGACAGGTCACTCTGCATAGGGCGACTAGAGTCCTCGGGTCTTGCCTGGATAAAGAAAAAAAAGGCAAGGAGACTTAAAGGGGCATGAAATGCAACTTTCTACTCCTCTTAAATGTATAAAAACTATTTGACATCCCTTTTTGATTTATGTTGTTGAAAAGTGCTTTTCTTTAAACATATAAACAACGTCGATGCTTTTTTGGACAACTGAGGGCGCTGTTGCCGTGATGTCATTTCAGGAAGACACTGTTCAGTTTAGGGGTTTTCTGTACAAATTGTGAACCCAAAAACTTGCTCATTGAAAACATCTGTGAGAAAAGTTTGCTTTTTTGAGAACCACACAAACATAAGAAAAAAGTGGTCACCTTTAATCTCGTGCTGCGACAGAGAAGTTGCCTGATGGTCAGACAGCACCTGTTGAAGTTTTGTATCAGCTGAGCGTGGGCGTGACCACCGATGAGTGACAGGTCACCATGGGTGGGGCAGGCTATGACACCGCTGGCTGCGTCCAGGTGGGCGTAGTGGAAGAGGGTGTTGTCACAACCGGCTGTCAATCTAGAGTACAAACAAGCCATACAAATGTGAAACGATGACATTGATATGGATTTTTAAGAGAACCGACAACAAGCATATTTGTTAGTGGGTTTTTTAATTTTTGTAAGCTGATTAAGTTGCGCTTACTTGGTAGCAGTGAAGTAGTCATTGCATGCTAACTCCTGGCCCCGATGCATCATGCCCATGTTGTAGGGGTCCGGAATCAGACGTTTCTTCCTTGCAACCTAAACAAACAAAAGGACATTTTACAAGTTATCCCAAATTCTTGCTTCAGGAGTCAGGTTGGCATAGCGGTACTTTCCTCGCCTTCCACCGCTGTGACCCGAGTTTGATGTCCCGCCTGGGCCAATATGTGGATTGGGTTTTCAGTCCCTACCTGATTGAGAGGGTTTTCCCCAGAATATTCTTCTGGGGTTTTCCTCCCACCTCTAAAACTCAAATTTCTTCTCACTGTCTCCTCTCTACATGTTTCTTCAGGCATGCAAGCTACAGTGCCTAGGGTGCTTTTGAGGAATCCTTGGTTTCATTACCAGAAATAAATAATAATAATAATGCTAATAATCATAATAATAGAATTCTGTTCTAAACGACAAATATCACAATACAGATGTCAAGATACAAAATTGGATTGATTTCCACTGAAACGTTTTCTTACTTTATAAAGCTCGGCGCTGCTAACCGATCCTCCCGACACATCCGACCCTTTCCTTTCGCCGTTCCTTCGCCGGGGGATCGGGGAGCTCTGTGTGCTGTTCCCCCTGGAGTTGTAAGGGCTGGCGGTGTCACTCTCATTGTCAGAGTCCAGCCTGGAGGCGGTATGGCGCCTGGGCACGGGGCTAGGGGTGGACAGTTGGTTGGAACTCGGGGAACTAGACCGGCGTCGAGAAGTAATGTCTGCCTGTAAGAGTTTCCTTCCTAAAATAAGAAAATTGATTAAAAAATTAAAAATAGGTGAAAAAGATGAAATGTAGCCTACAAAGTATAATGTGATAATAGTATTTCGTAACACATGAAAAAAAGAAAAGAATTTTTTCTCCATTTTCAACACCGGCTTTGCGAGAGCAATTTCCGATCTTTTTTTCTTCAAGGAACAAAATTTTGATACCTCTTGCCGGAGACTGGCTGTGTAGCTTGGATAGCATGGGTGATGCCTGAATGGGGAGGGGCGGGGTACCAGACTCGGCAGTGCTCTTGCGGGTTGGAAAGAACCAGTCTGCACAGGAGAGGGCTGGGATGGGCGGGGCTGATAATCTGCGGAAGGAAGGGGGGGGGGGAAAGAGTAAAAAATGACTATTTAAATCTTCACAGAAATAAACCACAACCTCAATTTTTTTCAGATGAATACACACTGGCCAAAATGTACAATTTCATTTTTTTTTTCAGCATGTTTTTTTTTTAGTTAAAATCAGAAAAATGTGGGTAATGCCAAATACTCAATTGTGTCGTAAATTGTGTCTTTGGCAAGGGAACTGATCCCTGCCCTTGACAATTTATTAAATTTTTTAAGATCTGTGGATAATATTGTCAAGACCTACCTTTCTTCACAAGCATCTGGTACATTGAGAGACTCTAAATGCAAGAGGGTCGCCCTAGCCTGGTCAACGTAGAAAGGGTCTGGGGCTGGGGTACCTTCACACCTAATGAAGACACAATAATGCAATACTGGTTAAGGAGCCAGTGGAAAGTTCTGGCAAGACACAAACACAAGAATAACAGTATCTTGATTTCATCAACTGCCCAAAATGAGATAGTATTTATGTGAATACTCACTTTGATGCACAGCCCCCTGCTTCCATTAGCAAGCACAACAAGCTGTGCCTCTGTAACACAAAGCCAGAAAAATGCAATCAGGAAATGGAATAATGCGATCTGAATTCACAAATACATGTAAGTAAAAGTTTTCCCTAACAGTGATACATCACATTTAACAATGAACTCTCAGTGTTTTCTGAAATACCTGAGAAATTACAGTTCAGGCAGGACAGTCATTATCGTACCTGGCCAACTATCAGCAGAAACCACCTCCCCTGGGGTTCTTGATACCCTTGTATCACCGGTTCTGTCCGCTCCGCCCTACGGGTGGGGAAGACCTCTTTCCAGATGACTAGCTGGCCTACTTGCTGCTGGGAGCTCAGTACCATCAGGCTGTAGTTGCGACAGTAGACGGCGATGTCTCTCAGGTCATCCGCGGGCAAGTGACTGGCAGTAACGTAACCCTGAGGGACAAATGGTTTTTGTGGATTCGTTAAATGCGTTACGTTTTGGAACGCAGCAAATGATCTACTCTACCTTTAAATACACGTACATCAGAATTTTGGCATTGCTTACTTTGTAGAAGAGACAAGAGCCAAGAAGAACATAGGGTCTTCTGTCGTCATAGTGATCGTCAGACTGTAGAAACAAAAGTCACAATTGTGAGTGACTTCAGAATTTGCAACAATCGTTTTATGATCACATTTTTATTTGAAAATAATGTGGTTTTTGAAATAGTAGCTTTTGTTACTGTGAGATACACAGAAACTTACCATGTCTGCAAAATCTGCTGCCTCTAGTTCACTCAGGCTGCTGTCGACGTTGATCTGAAATTACACATAAAAATGCACAATTTGGTTAAAAAAAAGAAGCTTAACAATGGTTTCTAGACAATGAAAAGATACAAGTCTAAGTAAAATGAGAGCATTGTCTTTGTTCAGCAGCAATGAAATCAATTTTGGATTAATTCTGACCTATGGTCACTAGCCAAGGTGATTGCGATAAATTTGGTATAAAAAAATCTTTCTAAAATATTTCACTGGTTCTTGACAAAAATGCAGTTTTATCGATGCAATGTTTCACAATCTGATTCGGAGCACACGTTGTTACATGTTGGTGGAATATGGAAGCTTTGTAGTAAATGTGGCTATTGAGTTAGGGGTTAAAATACAAACCTTGACTTCTTCAGGCAGGTCCAGCCACCTAGCCCCGGGTAGACCCTCCAGGAAGGTACTGCTGGTGGTCTTCTGGCTCTGCTGCCTCTCTGTCAGGAGAAGACGCTGGAAGAGCAAACTGAAGAGATGATTCAGCCTGGGGTGGTTGGAGTCTTGGAAAGCACTGTGGGTGGATTAAAAAATAGAGCGGCAGGAGTGAACGGCAGGGCCTGCAGAAGAATACCAGGACTTACATTAAATCACAATTCAGTTTGTGACTAAGTTGACACGAGTCACTCCAAGAGTGACTCTGCATCTCCAATCTGAAAGCTTGTGGTCCAATGGTTATGGTGTGTCTTCGAACCCGGACAGGGAACACATGGTGCTTGTGTTCTTGGGCAAGACACTTTACTACAATCGCCTCCCTCCACCAAGGAGTATTAATGGGCACCTGTGAGGGTAGAGACCAGATTGCACAGACCTCGAGCTGCTGCAGCAAAATGGTCTCGTGGCCTGATGAACGAGGGTAATAATTAGCACTTGTATCCTTTGGCAACAATGCTTTGTATAATATCACCCTGTCAGACACTCACCTGTCAAGGTTTTTGAAGAGAAAGCACAGGAGTCGGACCACATCTTTGATGATGCAGTCTAGAAGGAAGATCGGTACCCTGGTAGCCGGTACCGCCATCACTAGGACCTCAGAGCCTGCTTTCTGATAGCTGATGTGAACCAGTTCGGCTCCGATTACCAGGGAAGTACTGTGAACAAAGAAATGTATACAAGTACAAAATAATGACTGAGTCAATTATGAGAAGTAGTACGTGCAGTCTTTATATTTCAATGGACACATCAAAAGGTAAGGGTTAGGAAAAAATGTCCAAAAATCGTCTTCTTTTTCCCCCTCAAAATTACCAAAATTTAAGAACAATATTAACATATAATGTCTGCTTTAACCCTAATCCCAAATCCTCAAAAATCCTCTTTGCAAAATGGAGGATTTTACAGGATTTTTTTGAATTAATATTTCAGTAAAATAACTTTCCTGTTCGACAAAGTCTCAAGTAGCTCACCTAGTGATGGCACTGTCTGTGATATTCTGCAGCATATCGCTCAGCGTAATGAACAATCCTCGGATGTCACTCAGCTTTCGAGAGGCCTTCGTCACCGGGAACTCATACAATATATCCTGAAAAAAAGGTCAAGACTGAAACGTTATTCTTACTGTCAGATTTTGTATTTTGAATATGAGGGACAAGTGGACTTTTTTTTTTCTCTGAAGTATTGATGGCGATTTTTGTCTGTTTTCCTTTGCACGTTCTTGTTCATTCATGGAGGTGGGAAAACGCTCAGCCCCAATACATCGTTCACAATGGGTGAGAATGGCACAAAGACACCAGACCATGCCGGAGCTGGGGGTTGCTAGCATAAGGCTTGCCCCGAATCATGTGACATAGTAACAGTCTCTTTGTCTGGAGAATGCAAAATTAAAACGTGCGAAGCATTGGATTAAGTCAGCGTTCCAGATTTTATTCAAATTTAACTCACAAATGGTTTATTGACTACATCAAAAGAATTCTTTAATAATAATAACCCTTGTACCTTGCCCTCCTCATCCCCTTCCTTGCCCAGGGTCAGGTACGTGATGATCCGACAGATGTCCCTGAGTGGGTCCTCTACCTCCTTCAACCTCTCCCCGCTGATCAGCTTGACCAGGGTGCCGTTGATGGGCGGTCGCTGGGGAGGCACGATGTACTTCTCCCAGGAGCCCAGGCTACCCCTCTGGAGTTGCAGTTTGAACTGGGAACAAGCAGTGGTGGGAAAAATATCCGGTGTACAAAATTGAAACCAAATAGTGGAATTCAAACCAAATTTTTTAAAATTCGGATTTTATAAATCCCTCCACTAACCGAACAAGAAAAATCCACCAGAACAGTTTCCAATGGCTAAATCTACCACAGATTCCAAAAGATTGAATATTTCCCTGCTACTGTTTCGCTGCAAAATCGGTACACCAAAATGATGGCACAGAAACTGTGTCTACAAATTGTTGCCACTGACTTTTAAGATTTTAAAGTTTTACTTGATTTGCAAAAATTTGAATTTAGCAACCTACCACCGAAGCACTGGCCATGGAAGCTAGGACTGAGCCAACCGTCTCTGCAAATACAGGGATGCCATTGATGCTGACGATGATGTCACCTATTCAATCAAAACAAGACAGTTGTTGTACTTTATTGTTTAATTTGCACTGGCCCTCCAATGGTCTATATTCAGACACACTGCTGAAGTTAAATACTTTTTGATAACTCTTATCCATTCTTGTCTTTATCCTTAGTCCTGTTTATAATAGATTTTGTTAATATCAGTTGACATAAACTAAGTTAAAGGGCCCATGCAATGTTTTAATACTATCCTTGAATATGAACCTTTGTGTCCCATTTAACCTCATTTTAAATTTTCGTTGTGCCATTTTGAAGGATATTTTGGTACCTTTTTGGTTTTTATGCTAATGCAAATTTCCACATCAAGAGCAAAACTGTGATGTCATTCCAGGTAGAAACTGCACTGTTACAGTTATTTCAGCACAAAAAGTTGCAAGAATTTTTGATATTTTGCTGTCGTAAATGATCTTTTCTTCGGTGATTCTTTGTTGTGTAAGTACATGGCAGTAAGCCAGTGAGCAAGCCTTTCTCACAAACTCACAAAATCTCACAAAATCTTTCAAAACCTGTTGTTGGATTTTCAAGGATCTGGAAAGGTTCAGGTATAATTTTCTCACCCAGCTCAACTTCTCCAGACCTCATGGCAGCTCCAGATGGTACCAACCCCCTCACCGAGACCCTTGTCTCAGTCGAAGCCGACAAAGCTCTCCCATTGCGATGTTCCTCCTCACCCCCGCGGGCATGACCGTTCCGAGATGATCCATTGGCAACGTTGGACTTCTTGTTGGAAGCGTGAACGATACCCAGCCACGATTCCAAACGGTCCATCTGAGCGTTTCCCTGCGTCTGTTTTGACTCGATCTTCAAGGTCACGTCAACGGTCTGTTCAGGCTTGCCGTGCCGCGCCGAGGTCCTCCGCGGGGATTTCTTACCGCTCACAACACGCTGCTTGGCGTTACTGGATGGGTCCGCACTGTTGTTAACGTTCATGAGATCGGAGCCCTTCTTGCGGCGCATGATCTTCTGCAAGGCTGCCAGGTTCTTCTTCTTCTTGGCAGCAGCTTGGGAGGACTTGTTTTCTTGTGCTTGCTGGTGAGCTGTCTGTGAGGTGGAGAGGTTGCCTGCTTGGTGAGGGTCTGTCCCAGGCTCAAGGTAGAACAGTTCCCCGGAGGGTTGCACGGAGCTGGCCCAAACTGGCTCCAAGCCACTACAAAAAACAACAAAAAAGAAACAGGTAAAACAATAACATCCCATTAGTTTCAATTCTGATCTATGTAGATATGGTGCAGTCAGAGTAAACTACATGCCCACCCAGTTTTTGCTTTAGGCCAAACGAAACAACAAAATGTTTCCTTGTGGTGACTTCTAGTTGATAATTAATAGGCAGGGATATTTAGCCAGCACAGGTTTCTGTTAGTAAACAGCCAGCACGGCACTGGACATGCGCAGTGACCGTTTTTTAGGGGACTTAGAAATTTTTACCGAGACAAATCTAGTCCAATTCCACGCCAACATTGTCATAGTGACTTTGTATTCATGAGATTGGAATCAGACCACTTTACCATTTCGGACTTTATTTCCATTTAAAAAAAATCCTCCAGAGCCACGAATCAGAAAAAAGAAAATGTATTACTCTGCAAATAAATGTAGGACTAGGAGTCAATTTAAATAATAAAACAAGAATATTCTTATTTTAGGGGATAAAAACCCTCAAACCCCGAATTGCAGATAGTGCACGCAGCGGTTTCGAACCAGGGATCCCTCACTCACGAATCAGCCTCAGGCACGCTTGACTTTGTACACAACCGTGGCATCACGCGTCAGGTTGCAACATTTTTTCCAACTTTTTAAGCCATTAAATGCAACAAAATGTAAATTTATTTCGTTGTTGAATAATAATTAATATGCTTTCAATGCCCCTATCAACAGATCAATTAAATAGGCCTATCATGTTTACTTTATTTTCATTTGCAACCCAAAATTGGGTATTGTTAACTTAACTTAAGTAGATTCAGCCAAGGTCTATTTTCATCGTTTTCTTCCAAATAATTATGTCATTGTAAAAGCATGTATGTGGAAGGGGAAGACGATATGCCTTAGTAGGTCATCTTACTCGCTGCCACTGCCATGGCTGCCGCTATACGACCACGAATCGGAGTCCCATCTCCTGTCGGAAGTTAACGGGCCCGCTGGCACCGAAGGCCCGTCACGTCGAAAATCAGCTGCTGCTTGTCCCGCGAACTCTTCACCCTCAATAACAATTCGAGGTGTTTTCCGACTTTCAGAGACAAAATCTGGTTCAGAACTACTCTTCGGTATTCCTCGATTCCTCTGATGTGTTGCCATTTTGTAGATCTCACCTAAAAAGGTGACATTTTTCCGACGTTTGAAGTAAAATTCCCTTCCCGATCAGCCGCCATGTTGTTTACATCCGGGTATTTGGTTGGTGTCGCTGTCTAGTGATTTATTTGGAACGTGTAGTTCAGGTGAGTATCTTTGTCGTTTTCAGAGTTTGCGACTGTGTGCATATTTGATTCCATTTATAATATTTTAAATAAAAACACACATATTTTATCATTATGTTCTGTGCATTGTTGTTAAGTTCATAATGTAAAGTAGTCAAACTACGCTTTTGTGACTTTAACTATACGATTCATGATTTGATATTGTCTGCTGCGCATTTACGAAGACTGGTTCCCGCCTCCTGAGTCGAGCGATAACGAAGGGACCGGAAACCGGTCTGGCGCATTCGTTTTGGTGATAGAGGGCGCTCTACAAAATTCACGAAACTTTTGCAAAAGTTCTTTCGCGCAGACGACAGTCCAAGTTCAACGTGACAGCACAGAACTTGTTTAGAATATCTTGACTTTTGTCAAATGGTGAGTACATTTTTTTTTGAAAACAAAGGTATGTCAAGGTAATGAACTATATTTCCTCTCTCGGTTTATTTTTCCTTTGGGGTGGAACTAGAAAAACAGATGTAGGCTAGGGCCCCTAATTTGCCGAAAACTGAAAACTTTGGCGCACTTCGTGAACCTCACTTTTCTTTCATTTTCCTTTCTTCCACCATGTCCACTCCCATCATTGACGTACGTATTGTCCTTTAAGTTACAAAAGCAACATAAGCAATGCGTCAATCTGAATTCGTTGTCTGCTATCAATTTAACAAATTATGTGTTTTCAGCAATGCCAATAATTAATGGTGAGTTTAAAAAAAATGAATCTGGGATTGGCTCAATGCATTAAAAATGCATAGCGCCCTCTCCTGACGTAAACGGTCTTAAAATTTCGTGTCGGCTCTGTTAAGTACGAAACTGACTTTTACTACAATGTTTTTAAGAACGCACATGTACAAATGTATATATAAAATGGCAGTGAATACACAGCAACATCCTAAGGCTAAGTATTGTTAACTGTACTTATAACAATTCATTACGAAAATAAAGATTCTGCATAAATTTGCAGTGCAAGCACTAAAACTTAAAACAGGTAGAATTGCTGAACTATTTCAGGAAATCTAAAGTCATAGTCATGCTTGCACACTTAACTCCTATTTTAAGGTGTAATTTATTTAAGTAGTGGGTATGAACAGCCTTTTTCCCACAGTAAACTTATATGTGAGATTTGACCTCAGTGAGGTCATGTTGTGCATCTCTCTATAGGACTGATGACATCATACCCATAACCTAAAAGTAAAGTAACTTCTAAAAGTATTATCAACTTACTGGCCTCATTTTATGGAACTTTACAAGGATGTAAAGTCCTATGCACAGCAGACATATTTCTGAGCGCGGAATATAAGGTCGGAATTTTATTCTTTAAGCTGCCAGTGAGTTGTTTCCCCTTGGATGTTGGAAGCCAATAGCTTGATACATGGTTTTCCAAGACCATTACTCAGTTTTTCTCATCAAATCAGATTTTTTTCATAGCTTTGAATCTGTTTGAAGGCTAAGATAGGATGGCTCGCATTTTTTAATCAAATGCAAAATGATCCGATAATGGAATGGGCAACTTTTATAGCGTATGGCATGTGTTCTTTGTTCCTATATTTATGCACAATTCTCAGAAGAAAAAAAAAGAATTTTGAACTTGTCCAAGTTTATTTGGTCTGAATTTTTAACACTACATTTCTTTGCTTGTTACTCATTTTCTATGGCTGATCCCATGAAGTATATACTATCTGTGAACAAATTGTAAAATGTGTGTAGTTGGCAGGCTGACGTCATCGGATGAAAATGTACCAATTTTCATCAGTTGCTATGTGTTACCATTCAGCACTCCAGACTCAAAAACCATTGAGTTTCAAGAACATAGGTCTGGGAGCTATGTAGATAAGCCAATGTGAAAAATTCCCACATGTCCGCGCCCACCTATACAAAGGCACTGCAACACTTGATCAACTTCTTTTGTTATAATATATTTCGCATATAGTCCACTGGATTTGTTGTGTTACCAGCATTTTGATATTTGGTAGACTGGATCAAACGCAGTAAAAATGAAAAAAAAAATTGATCCTGTTCATTTCCAGTCAAAGTGTTAACTTGCATTTGTACTACAGTAGCCAGCGAGATTATGACCCTGCATAATTAATGACTTTGTCAAATGGATGTGCGACATATATGAAAAATGGTGTCCAGACAATTTGTCTAGACACTGGAATTAGGCCTCCCTGAGAGTGAGACAAACTTACCGAAACATAATGGGACAGTATTGCACTGGGCAAGCATTATTATACCACATATCCTGCCATCGACTGCTTGTTGGATGTTAAGTGTTACAAGTTCATGGCCCAGTCAATACACCCATAAACTTGTAATCCCGAAGCCTGAATGGACTGATCCTCCTTTGAAATTTACAACAATGGACTCGGGGGACCAACAATCCAATGCCTCTGGCGAAAACTGGTTCAGACTATCGAATACCAAACATGCACGCCGATAAAGAAAAGAGGGGAAAATCGAGGTAGGCCACAAAAATGTTTTGGAAATATTTTCATTTCTAAAGGGAAGGGAATTGAATATTCAGGAACTGAATGCCTAATTGTGTTTGACGTGACACAGATGTATACACAAGCGACCTCGCGAAAAATGCCCCTGGGTTTGCTGGTATTCCTTTTTCTCTTCTGATGGGCACAAGGGGTCATTCCTAAACCAATATCTGTAGTACAATGTTCATCGTGCTGTAAATATCAGTATTACATGTAAACACGATTGAGTAAATACGTTAATATAATTAAACTAATAATACGGTACCTCTTTACAAACTACTTGTGATGACGGATCTTGACATCTGAGGTATAGCTTTGAAATTGGGCATGGACCGTTGAACAGTTTTCACAATATGACATGTTTTACCTGCATGCTTAATTGGTTGCCAATTGTAGGCTATACTACTTCATATTACTTATGGTTCTGTTAGATGCGTAAACATTGAATTACAAGCTTACAGTAGCCTGTATATCACAAACACGAATTGATGACAGTCCTATTTTAAAAAAGTTTTTTTGTCAGGATCGTACAATTTTCTCATCTGCTTGACATTGCACAGAGGATATCCCATTTTGAATTCGTATTTCTAAAATGAAAAGAAATCCTCTAAATCCTCTGCTTGTTTGCTTGCTTGTGAAATCGTTGTTTGCTTGCTTGCGAGCTATAGTTTTAATATCAACAGTTCAACATAGCTCAACCTTGTAAGCTTTGATCTTGTCGACCACTTAGGATTTTGCGAATGAGCATCATCCCCTGACGATAAGGACCGGAAAGTATTCGCCTTCAACACCTGAACTCACCGAATGAAATACGACCGCCGCCTCCGTCACCCCCGGCAGTCCAAAACCTCCCCAAGGGGCAATAGACGTGTTATACGGCAACCACGTTTGGGATTAATATCTGTGTTTTATGACAACCCGGTTGACACCGAACTCATCGATAATGTTTGCTTGTAACGCAAGCCTCCCCTAAAATCACCGAGTTTTAAAACGTCGTTTAAAACGGGGACCTGCGGCGATGGCGGCCGCCAGACGCGCCGCCCGCGCCATGCTCTCTCCATTGATGCTGGAGTTGAACTTCGCTATTAAAAGTACGGGGTTGAACAAAGCTAGGGGGGCCACGCGGGTCTGACCTACGGGAGCAATTATGACAGATCGCAGGTGATTTTTTCTCGCCAATTGGCTGTCAAAATAAGTTTAGGGATCGGAATTTTGATGCCGGGATGGGGGTTGCAGACGATGCAGACGATGCAGACACAATATACGCCATTACTACTATATCTCTACTAAATTGATATACATTGTATTGGCCAACATGTACTCCCCAAATTCTGTAAACTTTTAGAGATTTAGAAATTTAGAGATTTAGAGTTTTAGAGTACATGTATTTCCAAAGTTGATTTAGGAACGAGGAACAATACACAGCTAAAAAGTAACACTTTAAGATAGGGCCTACATATTTGAAAATATTATTTGCATCTTAGAGTATCCGCGCGGTTAACTGATCTCATTTTTGAGACGGGTCTATTCCATTAATTCTCAAGACCTTGCCACTTACATTAGATTACACCAAATTACAACCATACGACGTGCCTTAATGCAAACGCTTTGCAATGCCCTTTGGTGACCGTTTTCAAGGGGAAAACAATTTTCTCTTCTTTGAGTCCATGCGTACCGTGAGTTTCGCCAAATTAAACAATTTCCAACGAAAGAAACGCAATTTGCGGGTATTTCTCCGCCGACCATGTAGGCTATAGCCTGGTACCAGCTGTGTACACTTCACGGTAAAACTGACCTACTGCACTGCATCCAGTGCGTGCACAGCTTGGGTACTTCAAATCCCATAATTCATATTCACTCCGAGCGCAGAGTATAATCCTTGGAGCTCGATTTAGTTTATTAAATTGCGCACGAATGCCAAATTTAATGGAAATGCAGGTTAATGCATGCCCTTATCATCTCCGAAGTAAGAGTTGATGTCGGTAATGCGTCCAAGATTAAATTCTCAAATTTTCAGGACAAGAAACGTGCATTATAAAAGCTATTAAAAAAGCAATTTCCTCTTTAAAGCTTTTGTCATCCCAGAAGTAGTTGGTATCAATATGGTATTTTTGTAAATTATGATAATTATCACAAGATAATACGCCATATCCAACATAATTTCCATTCCGTTTTAGCCACTTTTCCTGTATTGATTTTCGTTTCTCAATTTCCCCCCTCACTAAGAACACACCTGCTTGTGTACGTACAGGCTCTCCGCACCGAGTAGTATAAATTCTCGACCTCTGTTTACAAGGAGCAACTAAATAATGTTCATGTTGCCGGCCGTGACTTGACAGATCCCGTGCTGTTTACGACCCGGACAAAAAAAATTCGGGAACACCGTGAGGTAACGACAATGTCCACACAGACAAACATGAAAATAAACACCCAAAACCATGCAGATGCCATTCGAAACGATTCAGGACTGTGATCATCGATTGCATTATGTGTGATATAAATCAATGAAGTCAGAACCAGGCTTGGTGGTACAAACCATACCGCTTCACTATCACCTTTCATCTTTGACCATCAGTCTTCTTTTTTTGTTTCCCCCCTGATGATGTCCCGTTTTCTCCACGCGCCATTGCGAGTGTCTCCGACCTCACGTACGAAGTTCGAAGTGTGTTTTGCTAACAAAATAATAGTTTTCAATAACTCATGTGAATGCGGCGAGGCGTGCGATCGTGTCTCAAAACAGTTAAATGGCTACACGAAAAAGAACCAGGTTTAGATGATAAGTTCGTGTGATGTGTCAGCAAGGGATCAATGTCGATCAGGTACTAAGCACAGAATCGTGCTCGATTGGCTCAGTATAAAAGCTCATAAAATGCAGAATGTCATGCGATTACA